CATGTGGGGGTGCAGACATCGAGGCGCTCCCGCGTGAGCGAACTGGCATAGTTAGCCATGAGCGTCGGAGAGTGCTTCTGTTTGCTACCACCATGTTGAGGAAAAACCCGCGGTATGTTCCCGCCAGAGTGTCACGTGACAATCACCACGACGGCAGCCCCGCCCCAGTCTTCTATCGACTTATGCGCGGGCGCAAACAACGCGCATGCGTATCGGTTTGGAATTCGTTGACACAATAATTGTCTTATGTTTGGAAGAATATGCTGCGTCAATTTCCAGCTTCGGTCTCCGGAGCTCTTTCATTTTCAGCCGCCTTTTCTTCCGTCCTTTCATGATCTACAAAGGAATTGTGTACAGTATTATATACACACTCTCATTCTCGTGTATTAATCAACCTTATAATACAGTCTCCTTTTTGCCGTCTTTTGGGCATCATCATGATGGCCAGCTCTTTCCTCCCTTTCCGCCGCTTTTTAGCTTGCCTCCCCTCATTCTCCTTCCTCCTCTCCTTCTTCCTCTCCTCCTGACCCCCAACTCAATCGAGATGAACCACAGGAACCAACAAAGGGGGATGGGCGAGTAGGCGAAAGAGGAGGCACACAGAAAAAGAAAAAATCAACAAAACAAAGAAAAAAAAAAATAACAAAAATACAAATAAAAAAAACAAAAAAAAAAAAAAACCCAAAAAAAAAAAAAAAATAAAAAAATAAATAAAGACAAAAAAAAAAAACAAAAAAAAACACAACCCAAAAACACCAAAAACCCACAAACATCCCCAAAAAAACCACCCCACAACAACCAACACCTAAACCACACACCAAACCCCTAACCCAACACCCACCCCCCCACCCCCAAACAGACGATCATACGTACCACTTTAAGCTACCGGAACAGTGGGATAGCACCTCTCTGTACCTTCTGGTCTCTTTCTGCAGCAGTGAAACAAATGACACTGAAAACATTGAATAAGATTCAGGAAAGCATATTACTTAGGAAGATCGAAGTGGAGAGGTTATTGTCCTTATTTTTAAAGGGGCTTTCACTGTATGACGTTAAAAGGTCCATGCTTTAGCGAGCCTCCCACCTTTTCCATGTCTCCTCATCCTCTCCTCCTATGCTTTCTCTAGCTCCATCGTCTCTCCGGAGGGACGAGTCGTCTGCTCCCTCAAACAACAAAGGGAGAGATGAGCAGCAGGACAGAGCCGGGGGAGAGTACCTCAGAGGTCGGTAGAGTCGGCCACGGTACGATGTCAAGCACCACTGAGCCTGGAGTAGTGCCTTCAGTAAGAACACAGAAGAAGGATAAATTGGACACTGAAAACCGTTATGCCACGTCCACATAATTCCCATTCATACACAAAGAAAGATCTACCAATAGAGTCAATATTCCTCACACATGATTGCAAAAATGAATACGTGCGAAACTGCGCCATAAATATCTTCCGAAGAATAACAGTGATTTTTTGGTGGCAACTTACATTGACCTCAAAGACTTACCAGAATACCGAAAATAAAAATAGAAAAAAAAAAAAACAATGTGCCCACACCTCCCAAGGAAAACCGGTCCTTGACTGGAGAGGTAGATCCAACAACATGTGTGTCACACCCTCGTCCGCGTTACAAAAATCGCTCCCTACCAGAGGTGTCTCCCACGACGACTGATAGCACCTCCGAAAAACCGCAGCCACACCCACACAATCTTATTTCACTGTAGTGCAACATTTTGAGGGGAATTAACAATTCTCATAAGAAAATGTTTACAAAACTACAGATATGGAACATATTTCTTTTGAGCAGAGCAAAACCGCACACATTTAAGGAAAACTAGCACAAAATATTATAAATATATATACAAAACTTTAACGACCCACAATATCGCCTCTAGAGCCAGAAGTTGGAGTTGTTCGGTCGTTCAGACCAATATGAAGGTGGAGGCATCGAGGGACCTCTCTGGAAATGAAAACGTGCAGCAGTTGGAACAGGCCTTCAGTCAGCAAACTCTGTTCCTATCTCCTGGCAGCGATCTGCCCCTTCTTCCCGCCGTGAAACAAGCACAAAACAGAACTGGCAGCCATCAGATTTGTTAATTGCCAAAAATTTTGATAATAATGTATCAGGTTTGTGAGACACTCAAACCATTTCCACAGGGATCTCCTCTCATATCATATGCCTCATCACCTGCCTCGGAGGTGGGGTAAACCACAACTCAATGTACAGACAGATGAAAATTTGATGAGAACAACATAAATCTGACACACATGGTAGATACTGTCTAGCACTGCCCGCAACAGTATAATACAAACAAGTTATATGTCGACATAAAATATCTTTTTACAACACAATTGTGACCGCTATGCGTAGGACATGACTAACAGAGTAGTGTTGTCTTACCGTCCACTACAACTCGTAGCAAGCTGTGTACCCAGAGAAAGATTGCCACGGATCTAGTGTAGGAGAAAACCAGTCAGGTGACGTCACTGACATCACATGACACACCGTCAGTAGGTCATCCGGACACCAGTAAGGAGTCTTTCATCTGCCACCCTTGAGAAGGGATTACGGCTGCCTCGGGGAGAGGGGTATGGGTAAGCCCCTCAATTGTAGGACAATACTAAGTGTGAATGATTGGAATGAGGCAGTAATGTGTGAGGGTGTGCGAAGGCTACACCTGAGGAGGTTACTTCAAGTGAGCCTGTGGTAACGTGTGAAGTGATGAATCCGACATAGCGTAGCATAGAACTCCACAAACGTCAGCATCACTCTGAAATCGACATCACTTGGCATCTATATATAGAAATTTTTGTATTTGCAGATCAAATGCAGAGCTATGGTAAGTATAAGCACATCGTGGCATAAAAACTATACAAGCCTTAGTGGTACATATATTACTTTTGAGTGAGGAGTAAGGAGTAATCCACGTGATGTCTGCCCCTGTAATTCAGCCTGGTAATAGATAGCCCTCGATCGACAAAACCCTGGGAACATGACGTCATCAGATGTCAGGTGGAGATATATATATAATATTATACTACTTTCTGCAGAGCATCTTGACTCGATGAGGAAGTGCTAGAACTCTACACACCAGTAGTCTCTTGCAGTTGGGACCACGTGCCTGCGAGAGCGAACGGCGGCGAAAGAGAGAGAGGAGAGAGGGGAGAGAGCGTTTGTGTATGTAGTGTGCGTGTGTGTAAAAAGCAAAGCAAAGAGCTGTAGACAGCAGAGGGAGAAACAGAGGAAACTTAGGGCACACTCTGCAGTTCTCCTGTACTGAGGGAGAGTTGAGAATAGCAAAATCATGTCAGTGTCAGGCATCGTCATGTCCCTCAGAGCATCCGGCACGTTGAGATACCTACCAGCACACAAAACGTAGAGGTCAGGTTTTTAGTAAGCGGCGCAGCACTCCCACAGCATAGTCAGGTACCCCAGCAACCCACTAAGTACTCGAGACACCGCAGACACCTGCGACAAGGGAAGTGGGACCCACTCCTCCTCACCTCTCTCTCACGATGTGATCTAGTTAGAGACACAGGCCTTTTTACAACAAGGCTTTTTCTCCATCAGCGTCTCCGCGCGTGGCGGGTTGTTCTTGTGCGCCGCGCGCCTCACACTCTCTTCATGCACTCCTTGAACTCTCGACTTTCGCCAGCACGCGGCTCGTGGGCCAGAACTGAATGGCTTTGTGAGTAGAAGAACGTTCTCTGGAGCCGTGCTCCCTTATATTCACTTTCTTCAACGTTAGGTGGCGTGTAGTTGGTAGATGCCGTTGTAGTATACCTAGTCGCCTGGAGGAGCTGGAACAGCCAGCCGAGAAAGAAGAGTGACCGAGGGTGGAGGAGGAGGGAGAAAAGGGGGAAGGGAGGGAAGGGTAGGGTGGAGAGGTGTCACGTGAGAGACCTGAAGTCGGAGAGAGGACAGCTGCAGTTCTTCAGAGCCTGGTTTTGGGAGAGATGTAGCGGTGGCCGCGCCGCACTCTCCCTGGATGGCAACGGCGGCGCGGAGGAACTGAGAGCATGGTCAGTGAGATCGTTATGAGAACTCACCTCTTCTTCTTTCGTTTAACCCATGGCTCATCTTTCTGCACTCGAGCTACGATGCTTCCAACAGCACGTGAAGTACACGACTTCAATTTGAGCGCACTCTCTTCTCCTCTCTTCGACCTTTGCACTCACCACGTGGGCAATGGAGGGTGCTGGAGAAGGAGAGTGTTCAGAGGAGGATAGCGCAGTCAGCTCCGCTAGTAGTGAGAAAGAGGATGAGGACATAGAGAGACTCTAGGAGAACTAGAAACGCGTTTGAGGGAGGAAATACAAGGAAGAAACGACGCCATTGTCTCCGCAATACAGCCAGAGTTGCAGAGTAAGCAAGTTCACTCGCAGTGACAACCCCTCACTGTAGCAGTTGGGAGTGATGGCAGCAGGGGCATGAGGATGTGAGTTGTCCATGCATGCGGTAGTGGTGGACAGCGGATGGAGACGAGAGCAGGCCCCACAGAAGCAGAGAGAGAAAGAGAGACAGAGAGACAAGGAGAGGAGACGGAGACGGAGGACCCAAAGTTACACATTGAACACTAGATGCACTAGGTGAGCAGGTTAAAACCTGGACATGCCTGTAATATATATATAGCGACGGTAAAGCAGTTATTGAAAATCAAGAATTATTACCTGTGCTGATCGTGAGTAATGTTATGCTGGTGCTAACTTTTGCCGCCTGTCATGTTTATCTAAAAAGAAGGAGGGAAAGCGTCGATTAACAAAACCAATCGGAGAACAGGCAAAAAGGGGAGGGCACCCCAAACAAAGAAAAACAGGCCACACAGGATGATGATATGACCCAGGGCATGGCACGATAATAGACACAGCACGGGAAGGAAAGGGCAGAGTGCCGAGACCGATACACTTAAGCGAATGAACGAATGGGCGCAATAGGACGGAGAGACACAAGCGCCGACCACACACAGAAAAGAACACAGGGAGGGGCAAGGAAAGCAGAAGCTAGAGAAACTGACAAACAGCCATGAACATCCTGTCTTGGTGAGTTTGCGAACCAGTGCCTCAGAGTCTGTGGACCGCGTGACAATGACAAATCATGACATCAGCTACGATGATATATTCCTCCATTACATCACGAAAAGAAACACACTGTGACATCACAAAGTTCACATGAGCATCATCAATTTTGCCAAGGTTGTTTGCATACTAAAATTCCACTACAACACTAGCTATGGCAAGGACTAGAGTCTTCTCAGTTTTGGCAGTGCTTTTGGTGCTGTTCTGGGTGTCATGAAGATGAGTAGCACTTCTCCAGCGACAGAGGTCATTCAGGAGCGGCATTGAGGTGGCGCCGCAAGGGAGGCGGGGCCACGAGAGGAGAGGAGAATGAGGGAGTGGTCAGTCTGTGTCGTAACTTTGGCATCACCAACGGAGCCTCATGAAAATATTAAAGATATCTTTCCGTGACTATAGTGTACTGTACCTGTTAGAGTTCGTCTCATAAACTTGTGGAGATTGCAGAAGATACAGTGTTACGGTGGTGCGTGTCAAGAATGTGCATCATCACACACACTCTCACGTGCATGCTGGGCGGAGGCTGAGAGGGTGGAAGGTGCGAGAATCGGCGAGGTTGGGCGAGTCAGCTGTCCACGCTCCCCTGATGCACACCCACACTCAGGACACTGCGATGTGTGCAAAATGGTCACCACTCACGAATGTTCCCATCCCCAATGTGTCCTTGGCTCATACATTATTGACATTGCAACACATATTAGTGACATAGCCCAACCCGTGTTGTATATGGTTCTGGTCTCCGTTGCGGTAGCATGACCCAACTGACGACCTCATTGCAAGCTGTGGGAAGCTCTGGGGATGGGGTTTTTTTCCTGGCGTCATGGCAACGGGAGGAGTGGAGATGGCAGGGATTGGGCGTTTCCCCCTCGTGTTTTTGTTGATGCAGGGAGAGAAGATGGAGGGAGGGGGCGGATGAGGAGGTAGGTTGTTGATAGCGACACCAGTGGGGGGTTGATGATGATTATGATGATTGGTGGTTGTGGTTTCTCCCAACGGAGAGAAGAACGAGTGAGGAGACAGTGAGGGAGGGTTTCGGTCAACAGTGGATTGGAGTAGGACCGAATTTGGTTTGTTGTCTGCGGCCAATGCCTGGATAATGGTGGGTGTGCGTTTGTGAGTGAAGAGAGGAGGAGGAAGAGAGGCTGAGCATGGGTGGGAGTGGGAACAATGAAAATATTACCACCCCGTCACGTGAGGGGCGTGTGGTCAGCACAGAGTAAGTTGTGGGAGTGTGCCTGTTGGGGAAGACCAAAATGACCAAATAGTGCATCGTAAAACAAGACTCAGACAACACAGAAGCGAGCTGTAACACTTGTGGTATACAAACACATACTTTGCTCTTGAGATAGGAACTCTTCTTCTGCCAAAGACATTCTGTTGAAAGGGTAACACGATACTAGCGAGCAGTGCAGACGTGGAATAGTATACGTACCACCACCCGCCACGTTCTGGGTGGAGCAAGGTGTGTGGTGCATGAGGGGAGTGTGGTCAGCTGTGGCGTGGTCGGAGTGGGCGGGGTCTCAGGAGACACTCGCAGCTCCTGTACCCTCCTTGATATCTATATGCACACAAGAGAGCAGTGAAGGAGAGGGGTAGACTTGACCATGGTGTGAAAATCTCAGAAAAAGGACCCTCTGAATAAAAGACACCTCTCTCTTAACGTCTTTCTTTCACCAAGGATACTTCACTGAAACAGGACACCCTCACTACACGGACGTTATCTCATTGTTGTGTCCAGCTAAGAGGGGCGCCCACTGTATCTCCTCACAGAGTGCCACGGAGCTGGTAGAAATACTTGGTGGAAGACTTCTCTTTTTCTTCCACTCGTCAGTGAACTGCAGGAAAAGACTTTACCTCCAGAACACAGTTGACACATGCATTGTACAATACCTTGGGTCGTGGACACTTGAGTGGAGTGTCGGTGGCCTTCAGAAAGTTGTGTAGGCGGAGTTCGGGCGGGGCGGGGCGGAGTGAGGAGAGGTGGATTCTCGCTCGAAGCGAGTCTTCGCTCGTCCGTCTACTATATCCCTTCGTGGAGGGCGAGTGGAACTTGCGTCTAGAGAAAGATTGAAGCGCATTGCAAAGAAGATGGAGTAGCGTAGCTGAGAGGGACTAAAAGTGCAAAAGGTGGGACTAGAGGCGGGCGAATAGAGAGATTTTGGGTTTGTGGGGAAGGACAAGGGCTCTCTCGTCCCTTCTGCAGAGTGGCTGTGATTATATGTGAAAGGCTTGTATCAAGCATTGGCTACACACACTCACACACACTCACACTCACAGAGAGCACAGTCACATGCATGTACCTGTTGTAGTGGAGTCTGTTGGTGACCCACACCACTTCAGTACTGGGGTCGAGACAGATGGGAGGTTGGGTGGCCAGCAGTAGCTTGCTCTCCAGGGCCAGCTGGTCTTCCTGCAGACGGGGAGGGGGGAGAGGAGAGAGGAAGAGAGGAGAGAGGGGAAGAGAGAGGAGAGAGGAGAGAGAGGAGAGAGGGGAAGAGAGAGGAGATAAAGAAGAGAGAGGAGAGAGGAAAAGAGGATAAGTGAAACGGGGGAGGTACACAAAAGGAGCATATATACCGACCAGAGAACAGTCTGTATCACTGGCAATTTCGTTCACCATCTGGAGAATGGACTGCAAGATAAAAATATGAAGCGTAATACGAACTCACAAAAAGCAACGCACAAGTATTCACTGCACCCTCCAGCCATATTTTAGTGATTGCTTGGCCTGTCTTTCGCTTTAAGTACCCACTAACAAAATTTCAATTATCCACGGAATCTTTTGAGATATATACCTCAGTGGTTGGTCGTAGCATGAGGAGGTGAGAGTCGTAAGATTGAGGTGCAGAGGGGGTGGGGCAAGGGGCGGGGTTTCGGTGGTTCCGAACCTCGCACACCACACAACCTCCATGCATGTGACAGTAGCTTGTCTCAGACAGAACTTCAGTCAGGACGGGAGGGATCTGGGAGTTGGGGGGTGGATGGAGAGAGGGTGTCATAAAGCCAATTAACATTCACGGTGACCCACCTCTTGGTTGTCTAGGTAACTGAATATCTCATCATCCTGGAGCAAACGACAGTTAGTTTAATTACATTCACCAATAGAAAATCATCCCAAATTGTATGTATATACCTCATACGGCAGGCATATCTCTTCACATTGTTCATCTGAAAAAGATAGACAATAGGACACATGATGGTGTGTGTAATGGGTAATTCATTCCCACAAGGTCAAAGGTTACTTATTGCCTGGAACTCTATGGAGGTGAGAACGGGGTTAATTTTGGTGTGTAGTCACACAATAGGGCTGAACGCAGGAAAATTACTACGGTTAATATCTGCAGCAGAAAAGCCACACCCACCAGGATTGAGAACGAGTGAGTAGCCCCTGTCATCAGAGTACAGATTGACCACCAGCGAAGGCTGCACGTGTCCAGGTGGGAGCTGGTGCAGCAAGTTACTGGTGTTACAAAACCTCTGTGAAATGATGACAGAGACAGGTGACAGACCGAAGGAGAGGGGGAGGAGTAAAGTAGAGAGAGAATGGACTAAGGGAGATTAAGCTTATCTTCACTACCACCACATGAACACAAGTTTCAGGAGGGGGTATTGGCACCTTGTCAAAGTTCTTGTCGTTCTGTCTCTGTACGCAGTCCACATAGCAGTCGTAGAGTCGGTCAAACAGAGAGAGAGGGGCTCCTGGGGCTCGCTTCTTCCTCGGCACGTTGTGCCGCTGGTTATCAACTATCTTCTACATTTGAACGAACAGATAGAAACACATCGTACATACTGTACCTTATATACGATAGTCTATCGCACGAGGTATAGGAAAGGGACTGATAAGTCAAAAAAACTTACCCATACTCGCTCTGAGTCGCAGTCCATGTCCCCTTTCCCCCCGAGAAAATTGCCGGGTGTCTTCTTATCCAATTTAGCGTTTTCGACTCTGTTTTAGAGTAATATTGAAAATAAATTTGTGCGTGTGCGTGCGCAGCCGAGCGAAGATGGAGATCTTTGTCTGTGCTATCTGTGTTCTGATGCTGCTGAGCTGCGCGTCGGAGCCATGCGATGAGGAAGTTCTAGAGTCGAACAACGCCAGCTACCTCTGGTGAGGGTCCAGTTACCATCCACATCCAGCTACGGTAGCCATCCACGTGTGATATTTAGGTCCTGGTTGCTGGACCCAGCCCGGCTTGTGATATTCGCCGTAAGTCTCTTCATCATAACGCTGGGCTCCAGGCGGGCGGTCCACCTGGATAAAACAGGTTCTGACAGCGAGACTGACGGTATGTATCTAAGCTGATGATAACTATCAATTATATTTACTTGCTCTAGCCAATTATCTTTCCTACCTCTCCCCCAGGTGTCCACACCCTCAACAACTGGCACATTATTCTCCTGCCCTCCGTAGGCTCCCTCACTCTCATTGTCTTCTTCTACTTCTTTGACTTTATTCAGTTCATCTTCACCGTCATCACTACCTGTGAGTGTATTGCCTCTTGAACTGTTGCAGCATTACTGTACTGAGTGTGCTCACGAGTGACAAATAGCTTTCTCTGGCTGCAAGTGTATCTGTCTTCCTCTCTCTTCTCAACCCCTTTCCAACCCCTCTTTCTCTCCTGCTGTGTTTCCTTCCCTCTCCACCCACTCTCCTCAGTTGTGTCACTGATTGCACTGTACAACCTCCTTCACCCAACCATTGAGAACCTACAAATACACTGCAAAGATAGTGTCTTGTAAGTCCGTCGGATTACTTACTATATACAGTTGCATTATTATCATACAAACAGTGCCACAAGTCAGTCGCTGCAGAAGGCAGTGACACTGTTGATATCAGGAGGTGTGGCTGGGCTCTGGGTGGCCACTGGCCACTGGTTCTACCTCGATGGTGAGAGAAACCGACTGCGCGAGCATGACTTGTGTGTCCCCAATACTGAACGATGATGTCTGATGTGCATATCTATGCTCTTTTCAATGAATTCTGTTGATGTGCAGCTGTGCTCTTTAGCCATGGTTATATATAGCCCGCCGGTCATCCCACACCCAACACCACGCGCTGCCTTCCCCGACCCACCACCGCCACCCCCCAGCCGGCCTTCCCCCCTCTTCCTTCGCACGAGAGCGGACTCTCCATCACCGCTTGTAACCCCACATGCCCGTCGCCCCCCCATGGAACGTCTACCCCTCACCCCCCCCCCCCCCCCCTCCTCCCCATGTCTGTTGCGGTCGGTCCACAGCGTGTGTGCTGACCCCTGCCTGTCTACCCGTTACTGCGATCGGATTAACACACCCAGTTAGCCACAATGGGAAATTCGCCCCCTCTGCACCCCGCTCTCTTCCCTGTCGGCTCTCCGGGGTTGCTCGCAACCTCCCGTCACCCTCAGCGGTCCGCCTGCTCTTCTCAGGGTTCGTTTTTTAGACCATTCCCCTTGCCCCCACCCACCCCACCCCCCACCCTCCCTTCTTGTCCACCCCCCCCCCCTGTGGCCAGTCCCTCTCACCTCTCCCCCCGTAGGTGTTGGAGCCACCGCGTCATTCCCGGTTTTTTCCCTGCCTTCACCCCGCCGCCGTGCTGCCTGCTTGCTGTTGCCCCCAACCGCCCCCGCCGGTGCCTCACACGTCCCCAGCCACTAAACCCAAACACCCCTATGCCCCCGCCCCCAGACACTCCCCCATACACGAGCACCCACCCCCCGAAACACACCAACACCCCACCGCCCCCCGCACGCTCCACACCACCCCACCGCTTCTGCACACCCCAATACACACACAAACCCCAGTGAGAGCACAACTCCCCGGTGCCGGACGCAACCACACCAAGTCTCCCAAGTACACGACAAAAGCCCGCTCTCCTGTCGCCCGTGGGGCATCAAAACACGTTGCCAATACATTGCCCCGGACATCCCGCGCACGGCATCCCCCCACACACCACTCCTCTCTCATCCCTGGCCAAACCTCATCCCCCACCACCAAGCGTCCCAGGACTAGCACTGAGTGGACTGAAAAGATGACTATCTCTCCTTGATCATCTTCCAATCATATCTCTTTACTCGCTCCTCTGCCTCTCTACCTCCCCTCTCTCACTCCCCCAGTTGCATACGCAAAACACCACCTCCCCTACACTTCAGACGCTTTGCCTGTAGAACTGGGGGACCTTGTGAGGGTCATTTCAGTCCCGTCTATAGACTCCACACTTAAACTTTCCATTTCCACACATACCCCACGACGCAACATCACCCCCTCTGCCCCACAACCCCCAAACCCCCCCCCACTACCCCCACCACCCCCCCCCCCCCCCCCCCCTCAACCCCCCCACACCCCTTTCTCTTACACCCACCACCCAGACGCGTAACATGACCCTCCCCACACCCTCCAGGCTTCTCCCAGGTCCAGTAAACCCTCGCACACGACCCATCTGTTTGCCGAACATGAGGTTCGAACATCCTGATCACCCCGGCCAACTCCGCCCTCCTCGCCGCGGCGGCCAAAGAACAATCCGCAAATGGCCGCGTTACCAGAGCTGAGAATATGTCGTTTCCCCAGCCCCGGTACCTTGCGTCCACTTCATGACCACAAGCCCCCCTGGTCCGGGGTCCTATGCCGGGGCCTGCCTCCTCATAGTCGTATCCGTGCTGGACATCCCTGGAGCGCCTCAGCCCCCATCGCACCCTAGCCCCTACTTTCGTGCCTCCCCCGCCCCCCTCTTCAGACCACCATCTTCAATACGCGTACACGTCCAGGTGTCACTCCTCGACCATGGACGCCGAGATGGCCTTGTTTCCGGCAACATGACGCATCTCTGTGGTGTGTGGGGGTGTGTGGTGTGTGTCCCCGCGAGAGGAGTACAGAGTGAACAGCATTTACAGAGAGAGCCCCACGCTGCACCCCATCTCAGGCGAAAGAGAGGGGACAGCAGAATATTATGAGAGAATCTGCCGGTGCCTATGAGTGCCAGAAAGAGAAGACACAACTAGAGCAACATAGTTTAAAGAAGAGCCACACAGAACTGATGATAGTTCTCAGAGGATAGCCAAAGAAGAAGAAGAGGAACCGTTGCACAGAAAAGGCAGTCGGGATGGAGAAATGATAATATTACGGAGGTATCAAGGGTCTCCTGCGAAACACGTGAACGAGAGGAGGGACGAAGATTTCTTGGTTATGTACAGGGGGACATTAGGACAATGTGGAATGGACCGCACTTCATCACAGGACAGCCCCAGCCCCAGCCATATCACCAAGTTCTTCCTTTTTGAACCCTTTTGAACAAAGTCATCATCACCGCATCATTCACCACCAATGCTTCTATATAACTTGCTCTCTGTCTCTCCTTCTCTCGCATCTCGGATTTAGGGTGTAACCCTTGATTTTCCATTTTCCATCATAATTGTATGATACATGACTGGTTGGAACCAGAGAATCATTTCATAAAATCTTTGGAAGTTTATACTCGGTGTCTCCATCCTTGCTGCAGTGGTGAATATCTCCTGCTCTTGGGCCACTATCACTAGCTGGTCCTCTGCTCTCAATTCGTTTCCTCCTCATCATAACTGGGAACACTTCAGTCCACCTGAAATCCCTCTCTTTTCTCTCCACTCCCACGCCTCGGGCAGTGGGGTAGGCCCCTCTCATTATCTCCCTAACGGGAGCGCTCTGAGAGAAATGTGCCGGCTGTGCAGCAAGCAATCTCTGGAGATTGTTGGCTTTACTCATAGCTCCATACCCATAGCTGGGGAGAAAAGGTCTTCCCCCTGGTTGATTGCCTCGTCTTAGCTCTCTGCCACCAGTTGTAGTAATGATATGGAGCACAGGTTGGTGCCTTAGTCTGGCTCGAAACATTGCCATATTATCATCAGCTCTGGACACCAAACTGTTGAGAGATCTCTTGCTCTGTTTGCCACCTCTGGCTCCCTCTCTAGTAGTGAAGTGTGCTGTTGATGCCCCCTGGATATGATAGGAGCTCCCACAATCTTCTTCGCTGTTTTTGCTTTCTTTACTCCACATTCATATTCTCATCTCTTTCCCTCTCTCTGGGTTTATTTTCCTCCTTCCTCCCAACTCTGGATTTAGTTTCGTCTCCTCTTATTGCGGCTCTATTTCCATCCCTCTTCTTTCTTCCTCTGGCGTCCTCCCCAGTGGCGCCCTGCTCACCAGCTCTGGGCAGAAAGTGATCTGTGACATCGACAGCCATTCTTGACCTGCTTCCTTCCAGTCTCCTGGACAGAGCTCTCAGTATCTCATCCTTCAAGAAATAGAAACAAAGAGAGAACGATGGCATCTGTGTACTAATTTCAATACAGGACAACAACAAAATTCACGGATTTGAAGACATAGATAAAATTATCCTTGCACTCTTCTCTCTCAAAATCGTCCGTGTGCATATTATGTATTGGGTAACATACAAACCTCATCAGATTCAATGTGTTGAAGGATGCCCATCTCAACGAGTCTGTGGTGAAGCTCTGACCTGTGAATAGAGACCATGCAGTCAACATAATATATTGAAACATGCTGTGACTGTATATAATTACTGACCTGCTACGTATCCCTGATATCGCCTGCAGTGCACTGAATGCAGCCTTCCGAATCCCCACCTATACAACATAATTATGACGTGTCATTGGGAACTTTGGAGGGAGAAAACAGGAACCATCCACAAAATAGTTATTTCTCTTGGGGTATACAATCTGTGAAAGTTCATTTACTACAAACAGTTTCTTCAAAAGTTTACTAGTTTCCACCCACCAACCAACCCCAGTAATTGAGAGGAACCCCCAGTCGTTGAGATGACATACATTGGAATCCAGGAGGTGTGGGAGGACGGCCAGTAGAGTGATGTCGTCGGCAGGCGTCCCAAGTCTCTCCAGAGCCAGCAGGGCAGCTTGTCTGGTGGGAGCACTGCTGGTAGAGCTCTGTTGTAGTCGAGTCACAAGGACATGAGTCAGGGCTGACTCCTGGGCCTCTGTCAATACTACATCTCTAGTGGACAGCAATAATACGTGCTAGTAAAAAGTGCTATTACTGCGGCAGCTAATATTATGGGGGCTCACCTTTTCAACTCAACTATGGCTGAACTGATACTCTGTATACTTTCTGGATCCCCACACTTCAACATGGACACTTTAGCCATGCATAAAGGAACATTCAACCTTTAGCTTGGAATTAATAATGCTGCAAACATACCCATTTCGTCACACACCTCCTGAACAGTGGTAATGGTGCGACGGAGGTCTGGTGGAAAGTGGGCTAATTCCATGACCCTCTGCAGAAAGGAATCCTCCACATCTTTACTTGGCTCTCTGGCAGGTAACACTACATCCTCAGCCACTCCAGATTTGGCTGCCACACTTTCCCCACGGCTGCCGTTTTGAGTGGGTATTGCCAGCGAAGATTTGACGGCGGTGGTCTTTGGTGGTCCCACGTGGAGGGGAATGGTCACTGTTGGTACGGCTATTGTTTCCACTCCCACAGGAGCAGTGGGCTCACATTGCCTCGGTGGTGGTGGTGGTGGTGGCACATTTGAAGGTTCATTTGATGACATCACAGTTTTACTGGATTCAGGGTTGATACTCTCTGCGTTGTACTGAGGAGACGGCTGGAACTTTGACTCCGTTTCTTGAGGTATTGTGTCGACTTGCGATGAGACTGAAACATCAGGTGAACTTCTCCCTTCAAATCTCAGGATATTCTCACTCTGTAGACTGGTATTGGAGCCAAAATTTGAGGATGCCACCACATCTGGCGATTTAACCCACTCCTCACTGATTTCATCTCTCTCCTCCATATCATTGTACAATTCTTCGGAATCCGATTCAGACATCTTCTCACTGACGGACTCTCCACTGCGTGACCCAACACCATCCACTGTTCTTCTCCTCCTCTTGCCTCTGAGTCTCTCCAGCTCAGGTCTGCCGTCAGGTGAGGTGCCCAGGATCCTATCAATGGCTGACTGCTGCAGGAGAGACAGGGGATCTGGGGCTGGAACATAGCCAATCGTCCCTCGCAGAGTCGAATTTGGAATGAGACCTGGGTATAATATTATTATAGTGCGGTGAGTAAAACCCTGTAAGATCAGCTCGTTTTGTTGGCTCACAGTCTGGGGCAATGGGAAGGCTTGGTGAGAAAGGCGCCCGAAGTGGCGCGACTCTTGCTGGAAATTTCTTGACGGGAGCTACTAGTCTCTTGTTTGGCGGGACATTTCCTGACGGTCTCTTGTCGGTCACAAGAGCCCTAGCAACTTCGTGTGACTTCATGGCCCCAAGACCACTCATGATGGTCTCTCTCAGTGACGACAGAGAGGAGCTCTCCGGTGGTACACCAGGGGAGACGTCGACCGATGAGGCCAGGATATGACGGCTGTTTTGTCTGACGAGTTCCACCCTCACTGCCTCACTGGTCGAGCTACGGCATCTTCTCTTATCTGTCACAGTCGCCTTTCTAGCACTCTCCATCTGTTGCAGGGTCTTGCTGGGGCATTCACTGGTGCAGTAGTCGTCCAATACAGAGCAATGCTTTTCCCTCTCCTCCAGTTGTACTGGGTAAGTAGGTACCCGCTCTGGATCATACCTACCAATAGCGAGACCATCAGACGTACAATAAAAGGAACCTAATACCCTCTTGTAATAGATATCGATACCTCTGTATAAATGTTCCACTTATACTAAATATGGGACATCTCCGTATAAAAAAACTTTTCATGGCCTTAGCATCCGTAGTTTAATTTTCGTGACACCACTGTAAAAAAAACAATTCAGTAGTGAAATTTGACTCACCAGAACTGTAGAGAGGGGTCAAAAGGTATGGGTTCCTCCAGGAGGGAGCTGGGACTGTGGCCCAGAGAGAGATGGGAGGAGGGGAGGTAGTGAGAGGCAGCCACACTGCAGAGCTGTCTCTGGAACCCCACGAGCAGGTCTCCGCGGGAGTTTGAAAAACAGGCTGTGAAGAGGCGCTCTCCGAAATCAATCTCCGCCACCAGTGAGTTCGAGGGACTCCAGATTTTGAGGAGGCCGTCGAGTGAGGTGGTGGCAAACAGACGGAGCTGTGGGCAGCAGGAAAGGGAGGTGATGGCGGCAGAATGTCGGTCTTCTCTCTGGTGACTCATAACAGGGAGACTGTGGAACAGAAGACCCTGGGGGAGGTAGGGGTTTTGGTGACCTCCCATCAGTTCCGGAGATAAATCGACCATCTCCACGGTGTTTCTGGTGGTTGCTACACACAATAGGGTGTCCAGCAGGCTAATGTGTGCTGGGACACTCTCCATCTGTACACAAGTCAACATCTTTAGCACCAAGTGGTCCCCCTTTCTGACACGTATGCTCCACGCATTTAGAAAGTTGTCACTTCCCAGAGACACAAGGTGTGGGGTGGAAGGGTTGTAGGGTGCAGCAAGCTTCACCGGAGAAGCAGAGCTGATTAGCTTGCACACACGACCTCCGTGAGCAGGGCACGGAGGCTCCATTGTGAAGAGAGACGAGTGGAGGAGTAGGATATGGCCACAGACACTGCCTCCAAACACCAGAGACTGCCTCTTTCTCTTCCACTCCACCATACACTGCCGTATTGGGAATCACACTCGTGTAGTGTTTTAAAATCGGACTTAGAAATGGTATTAAGGATGCATGAGTGTAAAAAGCACTGTAAATCGTATTATGCGGCCTAGCTCTAGGGAGAGCAAAACAAAACTAAGTAAAGGTGAATCACAATACTTATTAGCTAGCAGCAGTAAGTGTGGGCCAACGTACGGTTGATATGGTCTCAATCTTCTCCCTGTGAGTCGAGGTCCAGAGCTGGAGGGTGGAGCAGGGATTGGTGAGAGCTGACGCGACCAACACTTCGCCAGTTGACAGCAGTGCAAACAACAGTCGACACAGTGGGCAGTAGACCATCTCACTCAATAGCTAGGGAAGAAGAGAGAGAGACAAATAGCAAGATGCATGACAGAGAAAGAGGATAGCTGTCTTACGTCGGCAGTGAAGATTGGAAAGAAAGTTGTGATTACTTCGCCGGTCGCTGGAGATATCAGTCTCACACTGCCATCCTGTGAAGCAAAACCAACATGAGAACTACGCAAGTGAGGAACGTAGATAGTTCTACTTCTGCAGTGGCCATGATCCTAGCAGAGTCAGGCGACTCGACTCGACTCAGAGCGACAGTGTTGGAGTACACGCTGGCAAAATGGGTCTCCAACTGCTGGCAGAGACAGTGCAGGGATCAGCAGGACTGTGGAGGAAGACTGACCTGAGAGAGATTCCATATACTGATGTCCTGGTGCGAGTGGACCAATAGCTGTACAGTGTCTCCTCCACCACAACCACTGACACTCAGACCCAGCAGCTCCACACCCAAGTCCAGTCTATTGCACTGGAAGAGAGAGGTGTGGTGTAGCTGACCATTTCTCAGTGTGAATACAATACCTCCACGAGTGTTTCCAGACTCCATACCCTCACAGTACCGTCAAGAGAACAAGATATCAGACTGGATCCAGTCACATGACGTTTCAATGCTGCATGTATGTAGCATGTACAGATGAGATCACACATAGCAAAGATATCCCGCCAAAGTAAAACTTTACGTTAACGATATGAAAAATAGAAAGAGTATGTTTAAACTACTCACTCTTGCCGGCATATATATAGTTTGAGTTAACCTGTGACAGCTTTGATGTGGCCTGCCAGCTCTCCAACTTCAGTGTTCAAGGCGGAGTTCACTACCTGAGAGAGAGACGGTGTAAGAATGAACGTGTGTGTGAAGTGCAAATGGTAGGGTGGCCGAGCGGTCTAAGGCGCTGGTTTAAGGCACCAGTCATTTCGATGGCGTGGGTTCGAATCCCACCCCTGCCACTAATTTTTCTTACCTCTATCAATCCATTTCTGAATGCAAGAATAAGATATCCCAGTGAAGAGAAGAGAACAGCTCTGCAATGAAGAAAATAGCTTTCGCAAAGTTTTTCATTGTGCACGAAACAATTACCCAGTAATGCCGTCCCTGCATTTGCCAGAATAGTAGGTGGCAATTTCTTTATGTACCTGTGCAAAAATGGAGAAGAAAAATAATGTTGAATGGCGAATACCAGTCACAGACCTTTGTGTCAATGATAACAACTCTTTTCTCAGTTGCAGCAGCCAATCTGCCAGTGTCTAGCTCATAGTCCAGCCCTACCACCCACTGTTATAGCAGAACCAACGACAGAGTTGAAAATTCACAGAGTGTAATTATTGTACCTCATCCTTCCCTACTGCTACTGTTGACTGATGCTCAGGCTCTAGTGGACAGTACAGCTGCATATTGGAACGCGAATATTGTTGATGATGCTATGGAGCATAAAGTGCAGGCATTTTACCTGATTACCAAGGTGCCACGCCTTGATGTACCCTACGAAGTAAGAAGTAACCATTAATTAATGGCAAAATTATACCAACTGGTGGATATATACCAGATTGCCCAATGTAGAGTGTCGATGTGGCCTCTACAAACTCCACGCTGCAATGACATACAGTAGTGCATAAATTATAATTATACTGGGGGAGATTCTTAGTCACCAGAGAGCAGTGGAGGTGGTGGGTATAGTCTGCATGTGTTGGAAGGTATCAGAGAAGACCCTCAGACTCAGATCTCCACAAAACATCACATACACCTACAACATCAGCAGAAGATCTTATAGCTACGATGCAACGTGAGGGTTATTATGCACTCAACGCACTCTGTACTTCCTGACGTAGAGAAAACGCTGCACTGTTCTTTCAATGGCGGCTCTGTGGAGGGTGTACAACATTCACATAGTTGTAGGTTTGTTCATTGCTATACTTTCTCTGGGAGTTGCCGTGTGGAGTGAGAGGGTATACTGACGTGACGTGTTCGGAGCCTTCAGTACAGTGGACAGCTACTGCCTCAGCTGAAGACGACATGGAGATCAGTAGTTTAGCTACACATTGTTTGAACGATTCTGACACTCACTTCCTAGCGGAGCGACGCACTTGATTTGGTGGCTGAAACGATAGGAGCTCACTTTCTGCAAGTACCGAAGGAAGGCCGCGTAGGGTGCATGGTTAGCGAGACAAAGGATCTTACCTGGAATCTCCTGCCTATCACCACAGCTTCTGATGTCGTCGACATTCTCTCAACTGTGGTATCAGCAGCTCGCACCGAGGGTGAGGAAGACTGCAGAAAAAGATAGACGCGTCGAGCGCGTCGTTCGGCGTTGCGCGTGGCGTTTTTCCAAATGACGCCCACCCTTAGCGTATAAACTGAAACCATGGAGACAACCTTATCCCCATGGTAACGCAGATAAACTGCTGAATCGGCACTTTTCCACAGACGACGCGCGCCGGTACGTGTGGCCTCAGGAGATGCCTCTCCGGAAGATCAAGAAGAAGAGAGAACCAAACTGGAAAGAGTGGGACAGATTGGCTCAGAAAGAAGGGCTGCGAGCGCCCATCACGTCAGTCAACGGAGACGTCTACACGGGAGAATGGAAAGACGACTTGAAACACGGTCAGTCAGTCGCAGTCAGTGAGTGAGTCGATCATGAAGTACTTCTGAGGTCGGAAGAAAAGAGAGAGTTGTATTTCACTTTGGTGATTAGCTAGCTACTGCAAAAACTCAGTGCTCTCAGACTTTCATAACTCCAAAACGGGCATAGTACAATTCTATATAGTGTGTGGTTCTGTGTAGGGAAAGGGACGCAGGTGTGGAAGGCCAGTGGAGATCTCTATGACGGAGACTGGGAGGCAGGAATGAGACACGAGTTTGGGACTCTGAGTGTGAGGGACGAGGACAGTGGAGAATACATTAAAAAGTACTCTGGTGGATGGAAACACGACAAGAGACATGTGAGAGAACTTCGGAACCCCTCTAATCCAGACACAAATGGGGCAGATATCAGATGCCCTGATTTCAGGTGTTGAATTGCATGCAAGAACTGTTGGGGAGATTTTACTAGAGATGTGTCCTTATTTCAGGGGTATATAATTATTATTAGAGAGTTGTTCCACAGTGAAACATTAAAGACCAGTGCATTGTCTAATGCTCAGGGTTATGGAACAAACTACTACAGCCAGAGAGAGTGCTATGAGGGTGAATGGCAGAGAGGTCAGCGAGGTGGCTGGGGAAGGATGCACTATTCAGATGGATCAGTCTACGAGGGAGAGTGGCTGGGGGACCAGAGGAGTGGGAAAGGACTTCTCAGATTACGTGAGTAACCAACTAAGCACTGTATTCAGCTAATGAACGAGAGTGGACCCTTGTTTGGTAGAATTTAGCGGACAGAACTGGATTGCTTGTCTTCCATACAAATGGAAATATTGATGACGTAATCTTTGCAGTTGGCCATGAAATTCCCCCTTGAAAGTTTCCAGCTGAACATTTTTTACTCCACTCTTACTGTTGTCCAGCCAATGGTAACCGTTACGAAGGCACGTGGGAACGAGACATGAAGAATGGCGAGGGACGATTTCTTCACCAGGACAAGGGGCAGGTCTACTCCGGGACCTGGGTGGACGACGTCGCCAAGTGTGGGGTGATGGAGGACGTGGACAGAGACTCCGCCCCCCACTCTCCTCCCTACCCCATCCCCCAGGTCAGCAGTTTCATGTTAGCAGTGCAGCAGCCTTTAAACAACGGTCATGGTACATAGTACTGAGTTTGATAGTACTGCAGAGGCAGACCTCCTGAAAAGACTCTCTCAGAAGTTCCACTATTCGTGTGTGATTCAGTGGTTGTCGCAATCACTTGTGTGTCTCTCTTACTCTATATACAGTGCACCCTGGAGGATTCAGATGCTGTTTTGACTGCTGCCAGAGAACACCACCTCCAATGATGCCAACTAAGTTTTTTAAAAAAAACTCATAAACACTTCACAGCATAAAAATTGAAAACTACAGTGATAATAGGGCATTTCATAGATGATGATGATGTCAACTTGCGTGTTCAACTTAAAACAGTTTTCCTTGCCACCGGTCCTTTTCTGCCTCCCTCTCTCTGTCCAGCCTCTCCTCCAGTTGCTCCAGCTCCTTCTCCACGCTCCTGGCCAGAGACGGCTCCAGTTCCACAGCTCGCCTGAAATCAGCCTCGGCTGCCTCCTTGTCCCAGCCGGCAGCGTGGGCCTTGGCTCGCCGATACAGAGCCTTCACGTTGTTCCCGTCCACACTCAGAACAGTTGTAGTGTGTCTGATCACTTCTGCAAAGTCCTTTTTGAGCAGCATGCACTGAGAGTAGTTCAGTAGCAGTGGAACTTTCCTTCGCTCGGTCGCTTCCCATTCGACCGATTTTGGCTTTTCCCGCAAACTCAGCTCTTCCAGGTACCCCAGAGCCTCAAAGTACTTTTCGCATGCCTCTGCGTGGCTCCCAGCTCTGTATAGGACGTTTCCTTCTTCTCTCAGTCGCGATATCGCCTCGTCTTTCTCCTCGGCGCTCATGGCCCAGGACTCCTTCTTGTATTCTCCGGGTTGGTCCACTTTGAGCAGTTCTAGCTGGAACACCAGAGGGGACCTGTCCTGGTAGAGTCCATCGAGGTCGGCGTGACCAGTCCCATGCATGGCTCCAAATCCACACGAGTGGCTGTGAGTGTGAGGAGTCTCTCTCCCTGATTTCTTGAGGGCCAGATCCCGCAGGGCCTTGGACACATTCGGGTACTCCAGGACTAACTGTAGAACATGTCAACATACAGCTCAGAGGATAATAATTATGATACAGCATAATGTAGGTGGAGAGTTTTCCCTTTAGATTCACTCTGAAAATTTGCCTATATCCCGAAGAGAAAAAGCTACTCCATTAAAGGTATATACCGAGATAAAAAATTATGGGAGTCAGCTGACCTTGAAAGGGCACTTGAACTCAGCAATCTCGCCAATCCTCATTGTCTTCACCATGTCTTCCCAGATCTCCAACTTGAACTTTCGACCCACCAGCAGCTCAAACGGTCCCGTGCCCAGCGTCCTGCTGTCGTCCAGCACTCTTCTCTCTCCTTCGCTATCCCCTCCTGTCCCTTTCTCCGTCAGAACTAGGGTCCTGAAATGGAAGAATGCCTGCACACGGGTGTGCATATATCACTGCGGCTATTTCATACATGCACATGCCTTTGTGTTCTTCTCAACGTGTGGGATGTCCCCCTTTCCGGCGTGCAGCACAGTCTTCTGCACTCCAGGAACTGAGAGTCGCTCCATTATTCTGAATCTGAGCTCCGCTGTTTCTTTGCTTACAGCTGTCCGACAAACCCACTCCCCCGTTCATTTTATCTAAATAGAGCGCACCTCTCGCCCACATGGCGTCGTCTATGGATGTTCTGCAGTGGTTGGATGCGCTGTCTGCAGGCCAGTCGGCCGTCCTAGTGGCCGTGGGAGCTGGGCTCCTGGGACTCATAGTTGCCTTCTGCCTGTCGGGGCGCGGGTCGTCTGGCGAGAGGCAAAAAGAGGAGGAGACCAGAACCGCTGAAGTGGAAAATGTTTCGTCCGCGGAAGAAGGGGACGAAAAGAAGACAGAGCCGCAGAAGAAGCAGTGGAAAGTCAAGAACACTGGAAAACCAAAGAAAACGGTGCTTCCGTCGCACCCACTGCTGGCGGCAGACTTCAAAGGCCACACGGGAGCCGTTCTCTCGTTGGACTTCGACTCTACTGGCAAATACTTGGTCTCCTGCTCCGAAGGTGGACTGAAAACATTTCTATATATTTCTATTGTTTCTTCTCTTCCTCTCTAGATAGAACCATCCGTCTGTGGTACATGAAGACCTTAGAGGAGAAAGAGCACAAGTAAAGCTTTTTAGCTCATTCTAGAAATAATTGTCTCCCTCTTTTATTATAGGTACAGCCGGAAGAACGTAGAACTGGATCATGCCACTCACATCAAATTTAGTCCAGATGGAACGTGAGTGTAGTCTTCTCTCTTGCATGCACACTTTTTCTCTCTTTCTCTCCTCTCTCTCTATTCTCTCATGTCTTATTCATCCTCTAGTGCTGTGCTAACCTTCCTGTCAGTGGCAAACGCTCTTCAGGTCTTCAAAATTGCCAAGCAGAAAGGATCCCTCACTGTTTCAGAGCCTACCATTGACTTTCCCAAAGTATGATACTGTTCAACATTATGAATGTGTCTGTAGGTCAACTCGCTCCCTTTGCTTGCAGGTTGATTCCTCTACTGTCATTTCGATGGGGATTGCATCCACTGGCAAGTTTGTCATGACCTGCACTTCAACCGCCTTCACTATCTGGACTCTGAGAGGTATATATATAATGTATAGGGGAAAAAATCACCATTCACTACATACAGTTGAAATCACTTCCAGCATACTAAACTTGGACTAACTACAACTAGCATTACCGTATGTCGTATAATTCACGAGTGTGCATTGTACTGTAGGACCTTTTCCCCTCGTATGCAGGTGAAGTGTTGGCCACTGTTGAGACCAAACAGACACCAAACTCCTGTGCCATTGTATCTCCGTGTGGGAAATTCATCGCCTGCTCAGGTATGTATGTTATACACAAACTCTGTAGATCTCCGGCAGTCGATTATCATAATCAGAGCTTCCTGATTGCAGGGTTTACCCCCGACGTCAAGATATGGGAGGTGGAGTTCTCGAAGGGAGGCGATTTTCATCAGGTTTCGCGGGCGATGGAGCTGAAAGGACACTCTGCAGCTGTCGTGTCTCTCAGCTTCAATGGAGATTCTCAGAGGTCCGTCCGTACCACAACTAGGATTCACATCTTGTGTGTGTGTGTTTACATGCTGCCATTGAAATGTACAGTATGATTGTTGTGGGCCTGCATCTTTCCTGCCTCACAGAATGGCCACTGCTTCTAAGGACGGTACATGGAAGTTCTGGAACACTGATGGTTAAGATTTACACATAGTATTTCGTTTAAACACACAACTTCGTTTTTCTTTTTTTTTCTCGGTTTCACATCCCCCTTCGTTTAGATAATATTAATGACTTTTCCACTTATATTATATTATACAGAGTACATATTGCGTATTCTCATTTATTAACTCTGTGGATGTATTACGCAGTTCGGTACAGGCTGAGTGAGGACCCCAAACTGCTGACGACAGGGGAAATCCCCGAGACGGGCTCCACTGCAGTAGCTGTGGCTCCAGACTCGAGGGTGGTGGCCATTTCCGTCGACACCTCTCTCTTCATCTTCTCCTCCTCTTCCGGCGACATGATGGAGAAACTAGTCGATGTTCACGGAGGTATTCTACTACAGCTCACCAACTGTGCGTCATGTTCTCTCTCCATTTCCCAGATGTGGTGTCGTGTCTGTGCTGGGACCCAACCAGTCAGTACCTGGTGTCAGCTGGAGACAGCGACAGACACATCAGAGTGTGGCACAACCACTCTGGGAGAAGGGTGCACCTCTCCGAGATGAAGGCCGAGCTACCGAAAGCCAACAGCGACGCAATGAAGGTAGACTATATATACCTTCTCAAGAGACTCTTTTAGTCCCAGTGTGAAATAGAACTGAATAGAGGACACCCCTCAATAAGGGACCCTTGGTTCTGACCCATACTATGTAATACACAATTGTGTGTGTCTCTCTTTTGGCAGCGGAGGTTACAGGCACAGATAGAGGAAACAGAGTCAGTTGTTGCATGTTGTGGATTTTATCAGTGATTATCCTCCACTGCTGCAGGGCCTTCCTTCAGAGAGTGGTCTCATGCTAGGGGGGAAGAGTTTGATCTCATCAGACATTCATTTCCGTTCCATAGCGGATGTGTTCTAAATTTAGTAACATTTTCTCCGCCTATAAATTGACCGCAGACCGAGAGCTCATTGTGTCGCGTAAACAGTTCACCCGCTAGATCGACTGTGTCCGACGATTTCTCGTGTCTCGATGGCCGAACGCTTGCCTTCCTCGAAGAACATGCTACGGAGCCGCGGTCAGGACGAGCGCTCTGAGCGGAGGCGAGTGAGCACGGCGTCCAGTCGGGACGAAGAGATAGAAGAGACGCTTCAGAGGATCCAGAAGCAGGGAAAGTACGTCAAAATGAATGTCGGCGGCGTCCTCTACTGCACCACTCTCGGGACGCTCACCAAACACGATAATATGCTCCGGGCCATGTTTAGCGAGCGAATTCCGCTCCAGAAAGACGACGAAGGTGAGCGGTGGTGGCCTTCAAATAGAATCATAAGACCAATCCTTGTTTTTCATCCCAAAGGTTGGGTGATTATCGATCGCAGCGGCAAACACTTTGGCAGTATCCTCAACTACATCCGTGACGACTTTATCTGTCTACCAGACAGCAAGGTTGAGTGTATGGAGCTACTGTCAGAGGCAAAGTTAGTGGTGACCCACATCTCAATGTTTGGTGTAGTATGAGAGGAAGAAAGTGATCTAGGCCTTGTTGGTTTCCAGGTACTACTGTTTGACTGACCTAGTTGAGCAGCTGGAGGAGCAGCTAGAGAGACTCAGAGATGACTACCACAAGATATGCCGCGTCCCTGTCATTACCTCTCTTGACGAGGAGACGAGAATCGTATCAACCTCTGTGAAGGTTGGTGGAGTGTGTGTGTGTGTGGTGTGTGTGTTGATGGGTGTTTTCCCCTATCATTAGCCGGTCATCAAGCTGCTCTACAACCGAGGAAACAACAAGTATTCGTACACAACGTACGTCGTTTCTATTGTACATCTGTTCAGTTTTTCTGGTCCACTGGGATACTATACTCTCACTAAGTGTTCAGTATTTGTTCCCCCTCAAACAGAACTGCCAGCGTTTAACCAGTGGTGTGGCTTACTGACAATCCTTCTTCCCACAGAAACTCAGATGACAACCTCCTGAAGAACATAGAGCTGTTTGACAAGCTGTCGGTGCGGTTTGGCCAGAGGATCAAGTTCATCAAAGACATCGTCGGGAGGGGAGAGATCTGCTGCTGGGCTTTCTACGGCCACGCTAAAAAGATTGCTGAAGTTTGTTGTGAGTCTATCGTCTACGCCACGGACCGTAAACACACCAAGATAGAGTTCCCTGAGGCGAAAAGATCCTGGACGAAACTCTCAACATAATGTTGTATGAGAAACGATCGGATGGGTCCCCTCTCGGCTACACAGACCCCCTCCCCTCTCTCCCTCGTGTCCCGCCTCCGCGACCCCCTGGGACCCCTGACGGAGTCCTCTCTGAAGATGAACTGAGATAGTGACAGCCCCCCTCCCCCTCGCTCTCTTTCTCTCTACCGACACTCTGTGTGTGTTGCCAGACCATCACTACGTACCATAACATCAGGCTCTTTCCCTGATTCAGTCAGTGTATCTGTATGTCTGTTAGATTTTTTCATGAAAATTTTGAGGCAGTGCACGTGTATAATATGTGGGTGTATTGTCATTTGAGGCCAAAGTCTTCCGTGATTTCCTGCTGGTCTTGCTCGACTTGCTTCAATGATTCATACTGGACACGCAATCTGGGGAGATATTGTAGCACGTTGTTTAGCCAGTGACCACCCACACTGTCTGAAATGTATACCTCTCCAGCTCCATTTTCTTCTCTATGAGCAGTGCCTGTAGCTGCTGCTTCTGAGAGTCTCTCTCGCGCGCAATAGATTTGAGGAGGTTCCGGGCTCCAATAGCTTTCATCTTTTCCTTCTCCACCTCCTGCGCCAGGCCGTCAACCATGCCAATGAAACTGCCCACTAGGCTCTGAAATTCCCCAATCCCTATCATAGACAAACAGCACATTTGAACAAGAAGACTCGAGAAAGACGGTGTTGACAGTTGTGTAGGGCGTGTGAAGCTTACTGTCCACGAAATCCTTGCATTCTTCCCTCAACTCGTCCGTGGTCTGAGCCGTGTCGGGCTCCAAGACTCGTATCTTGGACAGCTCGTCGTAGAAATAGCCGGGCAGTGGCTGCGCGGGGACCGCCATTTTGTTTAGTTTACCGCGCGCTCCAATTCCGCCGTTGTCATGACGCCTAAATTGCCCGGAGCTTCCCCTCGAGCGAGCCTTTGTTGCGTGGGTGTTGAGCAGCTCAGCTGAGTCGCCGAGGAGGAGCTGGCTGCCCGTGGAATGGCCTCAGCTTCAGTGCCGCCACCACCCGAAGACGACTCTCTACTGGACCCTCTGCTCTTTAGTCAGCTTGGGTGAGCAAACCCTCTACCATGTAAGTAGCTAGCATTATTTGCCCACCCTGTGTAAATACACACCAGGACTCAGCAAGATATCCACAGTCGCTTCGAGGAGGGCCATTTCGGTGGATTCGGTCCGCAGCAGCAACACAACGACCAGTACTATGAAGGAGACACGCACCTCAAGCAGAGTAGTTACTTCAGCAAAACCAAGCCACATATCCAAACTGCTCATTATGTTGAGTCACAGCCTTCATCGTCTTCTTGGGGTGGTGAGCCTTTCTTCCTTACAAACTCTATATAGCTACTACACAGCACCTCTCTCTCACACACGCACATTCACACAAAGTTCCAGGGGATGGTTTCACTGGAGGCAGCAGTTCAGAGCTTCCACAGAGAGTACCGTTCACACCATCTCTGCAGCGCTCCAGAGAGAGCCTCCACAGCAGACAGCTCATGACTGTCGAAAGAAGGCTGGACTTCTCTTGTGAGTCTAACAGAGCTTCTTGCTCCACATTCAGGACATGTACACAATCGATTGCAGTTGATGCACCCGAGGAGCCGTCTGGTAGAGGACATGTTGCACTGAGACCAGTCACTGAAATACGTATCCACTCACTTTTGAACACCTTTACTTCTACTTCTGGGTGTACTATGATAACTGTGTGCATGTGTTTCAGTCATTGTGTTTGTCCTGAATCTCTGTGAGCAGCTGAGAAGTATCGCTCCGTCTTCAAAGAGTTTCCCTTCTTCAATATGGTCCAGTCTAAAGTCTTTGACGATGTACGTAAACACCAACTTTCCATTTCTTCTCTCTCTCTCTCACACACCCACTCACATCTTTCCTATTCCCTCCCGACAAGGTCCTCTACACTGACCTGCCGCTGGTTCTCTCAGCCCCAACTGGCAGCGGAAAGACCGTCGTGTTTGAACTGGCTATTGTTCGCCTTCTCCAACAGACTGGCCAGCAGATTTCCTCCGTGAAAATAGTCTATGGTGAGCAGCGCTGGTCAAACATTGGTATCACAGTCCCACACTGTTGGTGCATGCAGTGGCTCCGATGAAGGCTCTGTGTAGTGAGAGGTTCAGTGACTGGCAGGCCAAGTTTGGACCTCTCGGGCTCCGCTGCTGTGAGCTGACTGGAGACAGCCAGCTGGACGACTACTTTGAGCTACAGAGTGCCCAGATTGTCATGACCACTCCTGTCAGCTGGGCTCTGTAGTATGTAGCTCTATTCATCTGTTTATTGTCTGCAGGAGAAATGGGACAGTATGACCAGGAGGTGGAGAGACCACAAGAGTCTGGTCAAGCTGGTGAGACTGTTTCTCATCGATGAAGTCCATCAGCTGAACGATGAGGTGCGAGGACCGACCGTGGAGGCCATTGTCAGTCGAATGAAGACCATCAGAGCCGCTGCGGACCACTGCGGGAGGGAGGGGGGTGGGGTGAGGGGCGGAGCAACCAATCTGAGGCTCATTGCTGTGTCTGCCACCATACCAAACATCTCCGATGTACGTTTGTTACTCACTCATGTCGCACTGCCAGAATCGTCTCTCTCTCTCTCTCTCTTCCACAGCTCTGTAGCTGGCTGGGGTCAGAGGACAATCCTGCACTGGAATACAAGTATATACAGTGTCATCCCATAGTATGTATGGCGTTCTAACCAGTGTGTGTGTGTTTGTGTGTGTGTGTCGTAGGATTGACGAGTGCCACAGACCAGTGAGACTGAGGAAGGTGGTACTCAGTTACCCCAGCTCCACCTCTGACTTCAAGTTCAACCTCTCCCTCAACTACCGTCTCAGTAGCGTCATCCACACTTACAGCGACCAGAAACCTTGTCTCGTGGTATGACCTATAGCTGTACCTCTTTCTCTACTTAACAACGCATAAAAAAAAAACATACATTGTGATTGATGCCTTGATGGGAAACTTTTAACAAACAGCAAGCAGAAGAGCGCACTTTGATGGGCTCGCAAAATTAATATACCATTTCCCAACAAAGTTTATAGTTGTTAACCTCTCTCTCTCTGTCAGTTCTGTGCCACTCGGAAAGGGACGCAGCAGGCCGCAGCCACTCTGGTGAAAGATGCCAGGTTCATCATGAACTCAGAGCACAAGAAAAGGTCCAGAGAGCCCACCGTCTCAATTGTTACATTACACACCGTGCTGCTGCTATTGTCCTCACAGACTCAATGCATCGTCGACAGCCTTGAGAGACAGCAAACTGAGAGGTGTGAACTCTTTGTGGTTACAGCCCCTCTCTCCTTTATTCCCCCCCCCTCCCTCTCAGACCTGGTGGTGTGTGGAGTTGGCTACCATCATGCCGGTATTGACATGTCGGACAGGAAGACCATTGAGACAATGTTCACAGCTGGTGACCTCCCAGTCCTCTGTGAGACCCCACTCCCACTAACACACTGTCATATTACTTCATCTCTCCTTTAGTTTCCACCAGTACTCTGGCAATGGGGGTAAGCCGCTATAATTAGCAATCTGAAAAAATGTCTCTCTCTCTTTTTCTCTTTCTCTTTCTCTACCATCTACACTACTGCATGTGTTCACATATGTACTATGTGCAGGTGAACCTGCCGGCTCACCTGGTGGTGATAAAGTCGACCAGTCACTATGTCCAGGGAATGTTCCAGGAGTATACAGAGTCCCAGGTTCTCCAGATGATTGGTCGAGCCGGGAGACCTCAGGTGATGCATATAGCACTAAACTCCTTTCAGGACAAAATACTCTATAGTGAATTTAACAATTGCTTTTGTTTCTGTAGTTTGACACAACAGCCACAGCAGTCATAATGACCAGCCATTCTAACAAGGTCTGTGTTTATTTCCCGTGGGTATACATTCTCAAAACTTGTTCCAATCTCTCTCTTTCCTAGTCGAAATACGAGGCACTGCTAGGAGGAAAACAGTTGATAGAGAGCTGGTTAGGATACCAATGTTTTAGTTACAGTATTCCCTACCTACCTACCTGCCCCCCTCTCCCTCTCTCTCTCTCTCTGTGTTCCCAGTCTCCACCATAACCTGATAGAGCACCTGAATGCGGAGATTGTACTCCACACAATCACTGACGTCAGTATTGCCCTCGAGTGGCTCCACTCCACTTTCTTCTACATCAGAGTCAGACAGAACCCAAAGTTCTACAGTCAGTACAAACCTCTCCCTATACACCTCTTTCCTATCCCTCTCTCAGCAAATTTGATAGAATCACCAAATATATTTGTGACTATATATATGTCAAAATTGCGACTTGCTGTCCCTCCAGATTTCCCTGAACAGAAGGATAAATTGGAAGGGAAGCTTCAAGGTGCAGGCTAATCTCCTGATGTGTATTAGACTAATGGTGAGTTTGTTGATTGCCTTTTGACATAGAGCTACTGGTGAAAGATTTGAACCTTCTTGCTAAACACTCACTCATATCAATGGAGGATGGTTTCCTGCTCCAACCAACTGGTACGTAATACTCATAATTTAACAATTTTGGCAAAAATTTTTTTTAGTGCCAAATGCATGATGACTTCCTATTGTTCAGAGCCAAAAACTGTCTGTTGTCTGGTTGTGTTTCCAGAGAGGGGTAGGCTGATGGCGAGATACTGTGTGGCCTTCAAGAGCATGCAGCAGTTCCTGGGTCTGCACGGGAGGGAGGAGCTAGAGCAATTGGTGGGCGTGGTCTCCCAGTGTCAGGAGTTCAGCGACGTCCACCTGAGAGTGACGGAGAAGAGAGTTCTCAATACCCTGAATAAGGACAAGAACAGAGCCACCATCAGGTATAATACAGGGGAACCCCTCTAATCAGGACACCAGTTGGACAAAAAACGTGTCCATATACGTAAGTGAGGTGTCCATTTTTCAGTGGTCGAATTTCATGCAAGGAACTAAAGAAAAGGTGTTCTTATTAAAGAGATGTCCTCAATTAGGGGTGGCCTTGGCTTACTGCACACCCCCTCCCTCCTACTGTCTGTGTGTGTGTGACTGCATTGCTATAGGTTTCCAATGGAGGGGAAGATAAAGTCCAAAGACATGAAAGTCAACTGGTGAGACTGTAGCACTGACACACACCTTATGTACCTCATCTCTCTCTCTCCCTCTACAGTCTCCTACAGGCAGCTCTGGGCAGTCTCCCTGTCCAGGAGTTCTCTCTCAATCAAGACACTCAGAAGATATTCCGCTCTGCCTCTCGCCTCTCCAAATGTGGGCTACCAACTCTCTTCAACTCCCTCTTTTACTACACTATGGGCCTGTTGACCAATATATGAATGAAACATGTGCTACTACAGGTCTGCTGGAGCTAAAGATGCTGGGAGCTGGGTTCCAGTCACTTCTCAACTCAGTACTCCTACACAAGTGTATTCAGGCCAGGTGGGTGGAAACCACTGCTAGCATGGCTACCTACGCACTGATATTTACATTCAGACTGTGGGAAAACTCCAAACATGTGGCGAGACAGTTGGATAAGATCGGTACACTTCTCCCAAAATCTTTACTAGAGTGATCTGTATGTATGTCCACCGCCTGTCAGGTGTGACCATCAGCACCACTCTGGTGAATGCCAGACTCACAACATTTGACAAGATCCATGACACCAACCCCAGGGAACTGGAGATGGTAACAACACACACACACACATCTCCAGCTTTACACTCCACCCTTGCCTCTCTCTCCTTCTCTTTCCAAAGATTGTGAATCGTCACCCTCCATTTGGGACACAGGTAAAGAACCTCTCCATGTACAGTTTAAGTGTATGCATGACTCAATGTTCTCTGTGCTCAGATAAGGGATGCTGTGGCGAGGCTACCAAAATATGCCATCTCTCTGCAACAGGTTGATACCAGTAGTAGACTGAATTTTCATAAATGCAGCCCTGAAATTTGTGGTAGTTTAGATCTTGGTACGTACACATTTGGGCAGCATTGTGAATTTCCCAGAGAGTAGAGTAGTCTCTATCATGGTATATCCTCTCTCTCCGCCCCCTTCCAGTGTGGAGGACGCACCAGTCAGCAGGCAGATCTGGTGGTAATGGTCTCCCTCACCAACCACACCCTCCTGAGTGGGGCGGGGCCTGGCGGAGGAGGCCCCACCCTAGGTCCGAGCCACACCTCCATCCTCCTCATCGGAGACTCCTCCGACACCATCCTCTGCAAACAGAAAATCAGGCAAGACCATTTGTTACCAATGGCCTTGCCACCTCATCTCGTTTGTTGACACATGCATGTTTACAAAAGCAAGGTATAATGAAACAACTCTCTGGTCTCTCTCTGGGTATGTCTGTCTCTTTCCAGGGACTCTCAGTTGCTGGGAACAGGTCAGTTCTCCAGGAAACTAACAGTCCACAGAGTTCCCGAATCAGATGAACTCCACGTTCACTACATCAGCATGGAGTATGGTGAGCCACCGTTGGTTACCTGTTGAGCCTTGTACAGGCCTTGGAAAATGTACTGTAGTTGGACTGGATGTCCGTGAGGTATTTTCTCCCCGCTACACTGGCCCTGCCCCCTTGAAGAAAGACACAGCTGGCCACTCGTTTCAGACCAGAAATGGCAGGGGCACCCCTCAATCATCTTCAGGTCAATTGAGAAACACTTAATGTCCCTCCTGTGTCACACGTGCTTGCTGTGTGACCTCCTCAGTGGGTGGTGCCAGTGGTGGAGGTGAGAGGAGGAGAGGCAGTCAGATGGAGCAGGGACGAAGACTTTTGCAACCATCGATGCATCAACAAAGACGTGTATCCCAAACTTGCATATTACATACCCACAGAACCTCGGTATAGTGGGGAACCTTTGTGAGAAAGGTTTTCGTAAATTATACCTACAGTTCGTAAAGCGTTTTGTCAAAGTAAAAGCAAAGTTTTTCTTGACTAACCTGTTACGTACATAGATGTGGACATGATTGCTGTAGGAATGGACTGGTTGGGAAGAAGGTAAATTTCCTGTGCTGTCTGCTAACGACATTGTATGCCAAGTCTCTCGCTAATAGTCACAGAGATCAAAGACAAACTCTGTGGCCTCCACGAGTAACAAACCCCACCCACTTCCTGCTCCTGACTCCACCCCCTCATCAACAAAGAGGAAGCGTGAGAGTGTGATGACATCATTCATTGAAGACCTCCATGTTCGCAGGAACTCTCTCCCTCCCACACCAGCACTCAAGAGAATCAGGGTATGTACTATATACGTAGTATACCATTCAGTGATGTAGTAGATCTTGTTTAGCTCATCCAAAATCAACACCAGTGTTTGTCAGCAATGTTTCAACACCAGGTTTGTCAGCAATGTTTCAACACCAGTGTTTGTCAGCAATGTTTCAATGAAAAGCACTAAAGTGCAAACCCTCGCACACTGTGGAACCCATACACAAGTGTGGCACCACCACAATTGATGGTCTTGACCATGCATCAAAAAGAACAGCATGTTATGAAAAAATGGCCAGACCCATTTCTGTTTGAGAAAAATATATAAGGTTGAAAAATTGCCAACCTTTCATCTCTCTATTAATTTTCGTATTACCTGTGGATTGTTTAGTGGCCAAAAAAAACCTAAGGTTGAAAAAAAAATTCTAAACGCCCAGCCCTTCATCTCTCCAGACAGACGTCTACGGACGCAGTGCTATGCCGAACTATACGCTGCCCTTTGAGAAACGTGGGTCAGTGGTAGATTTGTGGGTAAGGGGAGGAACCAGAGCTGTTCCCAGCCAATGCTCTGGACCACCTGACATTTTAGTGCGGGATCGGGATACGAACCGGGCACCTATGGTGTCAGTCCCCACGACTCTAACCTCCTCCTATTACATCATTGTAAAAAAGGCGTACACACCCGGGATCGAACCAGGACCTGACGATCAAGAGAGGGGGTGCTTATCCATAAGACCAACCCATTACTTGAATGGGAACAGCGTAAATGAAAAGCACTAAAGTGCAAACCCTCGGCGAAGTAGCTCGCAGAGAGTCTGACACGGGCTAGCTACAGTATAGATAGCACGCGAGCGTGCGATACACGCCCATCGTTGTGACTTCTTGTGCCTTCAAGATAGAAGAGCAAGCGGACCCGGTCGAGGTAGCTAAATATAAGCGCATGCGCATTATCCGCCAGCGATAAAATGGGCATTAGCCATACAATGCTGCAAGCGCTCTAGCTCTGCAAAGGAGCATTTTCAGAGAAAAACCGTCCATAATTTCTGACCTTCATTGCCCGTTGGGTAGATGGTATCGTTTCTGGGACGAACAGACACCCGAGAAGTGAAATTGAACCCAACTACAGTACCCTCGCTGCGCATGCGCGCCGAGGGTAAACTACATGTTCTCTTTCTCCCAGCCTGCTCTATCAACTGACTATCACGCTCCTAGCCCCCCTCCCTCCTCCCATCTTCCTAGTAGCTCTCTGAGCCAGCAGTTCTCCTATTCAGTTGACAGAATGAGAATCAGCACCAATCAGAGAGGTACGTATGCAGTCAAATCACGCACACTGCATTGTGAACGGATGGAGTAGAAATGGACACACTTTGCAACTTGACGCATGGTGCTGATGTTCTGTTTTATCACACAATACCACTAGAAGAGCACATGCCATTGTAGTGTACTGTATACCGTATGTACTTCAGATGAGGGAGAAGGGAGCTCCTACACTGGGGGTTCTAGACTGGTGGATCAGATCTATGAAGGCAGAGAGGAGAGCGGGGGAGGGAGAGAGAGGCTGTTTCAATCTGCAAGAAGAGCAGCTCAGCAGCAACGTGGCCACCCACTACCAATTCAGCAGCAAGGCCGTTCGCTGCCCAGGGAACCTCAGCAAGGCCAAGAAAGCAGCTCCCTGCCAAGGAGGGAGGTCTGGCAGCGAGGGAACACTGACAGTGAGATGGCTGATTTTGAGGAATACATTTGGGATGAATGGGAGAATGAGATTGAGACTCAATCTCACTCTAATGACAGTGGAGCAGATTTGAGAAACACCTCACAATTCCCTGAGAGGAGCATTAGATCTTCAAACCCAAGCCATCCTCCCTCTTCCTCCATACCCCTGCCACTAGCTGGACCATCTAGATATTCAACTATTCCTTCTCAAACTGCTGTGAGGAGACCCACACTGAGAACAAGAACTGTTCCTGTGGTCTCTAGACCAGTCACCAGTGGTCAGGTGGTACAGACTGTTCCGGTCCATCCACAGCCTCACTCACTACCACCACGGCACCAAACAGCCACCTCCTCTTTCTTCACTGCTGGACCAGTCGAGTAAGTTCACTGACCCAATAAGCAAAGACTGACTTCTTCACTTTTTACTTATACAGTGCTCGTGAGGACGATGGCAGTGATCTGTTTGGCTCTGTGTTTGCAGGAATATTCTAGAACTATAACCTCATTGTATATACTGTGAATCTATCCCATTGTGATCAGATTATCGCTAACGTCAGCAATTATTGCAGCGGGAGAGGTCAAAGTACCCCAGCAACGCCCACAAAATGCCATAGCAGCGACGGAGGAGGAGCTGGTTCATTGTGTGCGCGCGATATGCAGCCTCTAGTATTACCCGCGAATATTCGACTCTCCAGTTCGTGATGTCTTTTCAACGCAGCAGTAGCGGCGGCGTGTCCGCCTCGCGCTCGGTGGCGCTGGACCTGATGCTGCGAACGTTCATGAACTCCACAGAGTTCCACTCCTCTCGGCCAAGAGTGTGGGAGAAAGTGTCCCGTCTCGTCCCCGGCACCAACACCTCAGCAGGTGAGACATAGAACCAGCTAGGATTCCATGGCAGAGAAGATCGCATGCACCTCTCCACGACGTATCATAATTCACTGCAGTGCTACGAGAGATGGGAAGAACTGCGAACTTTCACGCGCAACTCAGTCAACAGAGACTGCTCTGGTAAGCAACGCATTTGCCTACACTTATGATTCAGCTAGCAATACTTTAGCTACACAGCTTTTGACTTTGAGGTGAACTACCAAGCAGACTTTGTAAATTTTCAAGGCTGTGAGCCGTCTGCTAAAGCTTTTCCACTAACTTCTGTAGGCATAAATAAATCTGTTGTAAAAATTCTCATTCCTACTGATTTGCAATCTTCCTCGAAACTTCCCCACAATTGCACATAGTACTGTTTTAATTAATCTCATCTGATTTCGTCAGAACTGACTGCCTATGGTAGGCCGGTGTCTAACAAGGCTCACAGCTGTCACAGACAGACAAGCAGAACCTCCGTCCTTCGCTCAACTACCTCCGCATCTCCCCCTCCCCTTCCTCCACCACCTCCTAGTGATGTGAGACCTCACTCACGGAGCGAAGTCAGTTTCGGCATGAAGAGAGAGGGGGCAGAGAAACAGTTTGTGCAGAAGAGAGAAAACTTGGCGGTGGGAGAGGGAGGGTGGGGAATGGGTGAAGGGAGGGGGAATAGTTTCTATCAGACTCTGATGGATAAGGACAGAGAGGGAGATGGTCTAGGTGACAGTAATGGTGCTAAGAGAAGGATGGAAGAGGGGTTAGAGAAACAAACTGGAAAATCAGAGTTAGAAGCAGGCAGGACGGAAGGAGCCAAAGACAGTGAGAGAGACAAGGAAATGAAAAAAAATAGCTCTTTGCCCGCCCGTGAATCCGACATGATCATTCACGTCTTTGATGACCAGAGAAAGAGTAAGCTATATACCACAAAGCACACAAACCATATTACAGTGGAAACTGTTCTCGGGAAACGTGTTGTTATTAGAGATGTGTCATCATTTCAGTCATTTCACTTTACTGTCCAGCTAAGAGACAGTTCCACTGTCCGCGAGCTGTGCTGGTGAGGGAGATGAGGTATTTCTCAGAGTACCTGTCCTCAGAGACACATCTCTGGGACGAGGTAGACATTAGCGTCCACTGTGACATCACCGTCTTTGAGTGGCTGATGAGGTACGCCAAGAGGGGCTCTCCTCGAGGGGCCGCGGGGGGAAATTCTGGACAGCCCCCTTGAGCCCCGACTCTGGAGCCAGCCAACGTCGTCTCAATCCTCATCTCCTCTGATTTCCTAAAAATGGACTCTCTGGTACTACGTCGAATGCTGTCTCAATGTGTGTGGATATTGGTGTGTGTTAGGTGGAGGAGTGTCTGGACTTCTGTCACCACAGCCTCTCTGCTGTGCTGGCCTCTCCGACCAACATGGGCTGCATCTCTGAGACTCTCAGGGAAAGGTGTACACTCATCACACATCTGTGCTCGAGTTGACTGAATTACTAACGGTTTCTCTTGCAGGCTAGCAGTCAAATTCACTCCGAACAAACTGGAACAAGTTGTGGACAAGAAAGACAAAATCAGAAGGTGTCGTCAGTGGCTCTACCAGCAGCGATACTCTGATGGTCTCAATGCCTATGTCTCTCCATACCTTACCTGCAGCAAGCTGTTTATTCACCAGATCCAAGGACTATTCTCCGCCACTCACAGCCATCCCGAGTGCCCTGCTAATGCTGCCACACTCTTCAGGTTTACCCTCTCTCTCTCTCTCCCTATCAGTGTGTATATGTAACTGCTCTTCCATCAGATGTATGCACTGTGGAAAGCTACTTACTTCAGAGCAAACTTCTCAACTTCCCTGTACTGATAGCAGGTCTGTAATTAGAACATACGGGACATTTTTGAGGCAGAATTATTATATTCTCATACCTGCTGTGTATTCCATGTAGACTGGAGGTGCATTTCGAGGGGCAGTTGGTGTGGCATCACGAGAGAGACAAGGAGTGGACCGTGGGAGATTACCTCTCATCTCTGCACCTCGACCTCTCTCCCAGGGACATCTACTGGAGGTATATTACTGTGCATATATACTGTCGAGATTTAATAGGAAGTTTTACATATATATGCTTAGCAACTGCACTGAAAGCATTTTTCCCAGACGAAGTAGAAACTATGTGTTTTGGTAAATTGTGTTTTCTCGCAATGTTTCTCATTGCGATGTGTGACTGTGACTACCCTAGGCTGTGGGGAGTGGTGAACTGGCTGCGGTGCAGTTCCTGTGGAGAGGCGTTCCAGTGCAGAGACCTGTCCTCCTGCAGCTACCATCCACAGCCTTCTCTCTCCGGTCGCCCCTCTACCGGTCCTCCCGTTCACATCTGCTGTGGAAACCCTCCTCCCAACATATCTCCGTTCCCTCTACCACAGGTACATAAATTATGGCCAGGCACTAAAGTGCAAACCCTCAACGCACTAAAAACGCACGTGCATAAGTATACCCGTGCACGGTACCAGTAATTGATGGGGTTTCTTCTGCGGAAGTAGACATTTGCAAGGCCAAGCACATTATCTTTGCTGGAGGTGTAGGAATAAAGGTTTCGTCATTTACACGAGCGATCTTCTTCAAAACTATTCACACGTTCCCCATTCTTTGTTTATTACGACCAAACTGTATACAGACTGGCTGTTGTGTTCGAGACCACACTGTGGCTGACTCCTCCTCCCCCTCTTCTCACTCCTCTACTCTCACCGTGACATCATCTGCTCCACCCCCTCACCCGATCCAGGGGGAAGGGGGAGAGGTAGAAGAGAGAAGGACACACAGGCTCTCTCTCCTTCCTCTCCCTCTGCCTGCTGTCCCCAACTAAACTTTCTTAAGAGTGCTGATCTCCAAGGATCCCAACGGAAAGTTACCAGTCTCAAACCGGAGACAGTTGGACCAAGAAGGAAAGAGGGTAGGGAGGGGAGCAGTGATGTCAGGGTGTCTAGAGAGGGCGGGGCTGTCGCTAGGGAACAACATGGGTCGGTAAACAATGTGGTTGTCAGGGAGATGTCCCTGTCAGCACGGCAACGGGTGCTGAGTCAGCTGTCAGAGTTGGAGGAAGATGAGGAAGAAGACGATAGGCTCGTTAAGAGACCACACCCACCGCCCCTGCCTCATCCAGCTGGTAATTCAGTAGAGTGATGTATAGCACCAAATTTTATACTTTCTCCTCTACTCTTCAACTGTGTGTCGTGTGGTGTGGTTCATGTTGAAAGGTGGAGCTAACTCCAGACACAGTCGCAGAAGAGACAGCAGCAGACAAAGTGTGAGTCTCTTGTGCAGCTAACGATGAATGACGTATTACGAGACACTCAACTGCAGAGTCATCGCAGCAATAGAAGACACTCCAGTACCCCAGCTGTAGTGATGGACTGGGTTTGGGACCCCAGCAAACCTCAGAGGTGGAACCAGGACCGACAGAGAGAGAATGGTGAGATGTGGGGGAAAAACCGGGAGATATATTCCGTGTGTGAAAGTTTGATTTGTTGCAGACGAGAGGAGACTGGATCAGCTGTGCCATCGCATGTCATGTGTCCACACACACTCCTCTTCCTCAGCACACACCCTTGCTAGGCTGGGCAGCAAAGACAGAGACTCAACAGTATATATGACTAAAACCACACTCACTGACTCTCACACCCACCCCTCCTCTCCCCTCAACCCCAGAGCTATGCAGGAGGGATATTCTGCCAGCTGGAAGCCCAGTTCAGAGCCCAGCAGATGAGCAGAGCTCTCTCCCAGCAGCCTCCACTGGCCCACGGCTCTGCCTCAAGGCATGAACCAAAAACATTAACCAGAAAGATAAATACTCTGCATTGAATATAATACCAGATTGGTTGCCCAACAAGATCCGTTTTCTGAGGAAATTTTAGCAAACTCTATCGATTGTGATCTTTAAGACCCCCTTGCACCATTAATTAAAAGCATCAAAATTCTTTTCGCCTCTGAGACTTTCTCAGTACATGAAATTTCTATATACCCTCTTCCCGCAGATTCCCAGGACGAAGAAGATAATAATGATACACTGGAACAATAGTCTGAGTATAGAACACATCAATTCCACATGAATCAATCACTAATTTCGTCTTTCAGTCAATGTAAATAATTGGTAGGGGCAGGGTGTTGTCAGGGTGACTGTCTCCACAGTTAGCGGCATGCAGCTCTATGGCGTACGAGGGGAAAGACTGTCCACAGAGGGGACAAGGGACGGCGGATGCGGGGGTTTCTGGAGATAATTGGAGGGGCAGGAGGGGAGGGAGGGAGACGACGGGCGGCTGAGGATCGTCCATTATGACTGTAGCGTCACTGTCACTGTCCGCAGCAGCTGGGTCTTCTTTGGTCTGAGGCTGAAGGAAAGAACAGACATTGGCACATGGCTTTCTCTGTACGCATACTAAAAGCAGAAGGCATGGGTTCCTTCGTATGCTTACTTAAAAACTACAGAAACATACACTGACCTGGTTGGACTTGAGGGGCGAGGTTTCAGTCTCATCATTAGCAGTGGAGAGGTCTTCTGGTCTTCCACTGGTTCCGCCAGCTGTCCCAGCCTGACTCAACACTCTTCGGCACTCCTTTATCATCCCACTCAGCTTCTTCTTTCTCTTGCTGACCCACCCATCCTCCCCCTTCTCCTCTTCCTCTCCCCCTCTCCCCCTTCTCCTCTTCCCCCTCTTTCTAGACCCAGCCCAAGACCAGCGGTCTTCCTCTTGTCCTATCTCACACTTGTTGTCTGTGTTAGAAAGGGAGTGCAATGCACATATGCAAAGAGGATTGTGACATATTACAGAGAGAGAATGGGTGAAAACTAGGAATTTTTGCAAGCAAGGAGATTGGACAGAAAACTTCCGTGTTTGTTAGTCGGCTCAGTTTCGCCAGTTTTACTGAGTGAGCATATAAATGCAAAATTAAACTGCAACACTACATCTCACCATGGCGAGAGATCTTCCTAAAGGCAGCTGTCATTTCCACTGACGAGGGGGTTTTCCCGTAACCGTCGGCGAAATCACTCTTCCCCTGAGCTTTGTTCAGCTCCGCAACCAGCAGCTTCCTCTTCTGGTACAACTCCTCGAACTTCTTCTCTTTCTTCTTCCCCTCTTCCTCCACCGCTCGCTCCAGAATGGGGTTCATCTTGTCGGAGGGTTCTCGAGGGCCCTTTCAGAGCATTTCTGAGAAGACGCGACTGCCTCTCGAGACCAGAGAACTCCTCGCTGGTGTTGGAGTCCCCCAGGGGTTGCTTGAAATTTCCCTTCCTGTGAGGGGTCTTGAAGAATGAGGGTCCCCTGGTTTGCAGGGGGTCGCCGAGGAAGGGAGGGAGGGGAGGCGGTGCCGGTTGGCGTAATCAGGTGTGTCTTTGGGAGAGTGTGAGGGGTCCGGGTGAGATAGGAGGGATGGTGAGGGGGAAGGGGTGAGGGGTGTACTGGGAGTGTCGGAATAGAAGGTCACATGTTGGAGACCAAACTGGGACGTGAGATTGTACGGCTGTCGGCAGATAATCTTGAGGAAGCTCCACTTGAGGCCGGCTGTGGTGGCAGAGAAACGGTCTCTAGAGCACACGATACTCGACGTCTTGTTGCGTCCGGCGCGCGAATCTGGGACTGTCATGAGCATGCACGAAGGAAGCAGCGTCAGCCATTCAGTGGTAGAAGACTCAGAGGCGGCGGCGCTCACGTGCACCTCAATGAAGGCAGAACCAAAGTTCCCTGCCCAGATAGGGGTGCATGTTACCGCAGACCGTTACCGAGAGGCGCTGACTACTTACCGAGCTCCAAGCTGTTGATGCGCGCTCTCTTGCTCAGCTCCACGACCACCTCCGCCCGCCGCGCCTTCTCCTCCTGCCGCGTGAGCCACTTGCGCCCGCTGCATCCCTGGAGAAGATTCGTCGCTGGGTTCGACTCGTCCTGAAATAAACCAACGGACGAGGGAGCTTGTTGCGGCTAGTGTGCACAGCTCAGCTTACCTCAGAAGAGACGGACACCACGCGTTTTATAGGTATGGGAGCCATGATCTGGTGTTGCTGATCGACGCCGAAGAGTCGAGTCAGTTGCGTGCAAAAACCCGCACTTTTCCCGCCACTGAGTGCGTGGGCGATCCAGCGGCTTTTTCATTGGTGGAGCCCTCGGAAAGATGGTGGACGTAGTTTGCGACAACTTCACGGCTCTCCTTCCGCGTATAGAGCAGTGCATAAGGGAGTGTGACTTCGTAGGTGAGTCTGCCTAACCTGTGATGTGCAAAGACAACTAAAAGAACTGTCTTCAATGGGTAATGATTACGTAATTTGGGGGTTTCCCCATCACAGCTGTAGATACAGAATTCACAGGTCTCCATGCCACCAGTGAAGATGAAGTCAGGTATATACCCACGTTCACGTATAGTTCAGCGTAATATACTCCTTGTCTTTTTTCTTCTCTTCTCTATAAGCTTGTTCGATACTATGGAACAAAGGTACGGAAAGCTGAAGAAATTTGCGGAAAAATTCATCATCTGTCAACTAGGTAATGACCTGGGGTTACCCCCACACACCTATTGATAATCCAACCTTGTGTATTGGTTTGTACGTGCAGGGCTGGCTATGTTTACCAACGATGCTAAAAGCACCTACAAGCAAGTCGAGGACGCACTCTAGTGTCTTATGTTTCACCACCATTCTCTACTACTGACAGATATGTGGCACACTCTTTCAATTTCTACGTGTGCCCCAGACCCAAAGGAAATATGGACGTTAGATTCTCATTTCAGGTGCAGCAGAATAAATAAGTAACATCAGCTTGACACTGTTGAGCATTTTTGTCGACTGGTGTATTATGATAGAGCATGCAATATCCTAGTCAACAAAGTTATGCAAATCAAATTTTTTATCATACAGGCCTCAAACGTAGACTTTCTTTGTGACCACAACTTCAATTTCAACAAGGTTGGAGACTATAATTATAGTGACTATACCTTTGGGTCACTATTGTGTACACTTTAATGAGCATTTTGCAGTGCAGTCGTCAGTACATGTGTGTTAGTTCAGTGATGGTGTGATGGTGTGCTGGTGTTAGATGTTCTATGAGGGTGTCCACTACTTGAGCAGTCGGCAGGAGAAGCTGGTCAGAGCTGAGGACGAGTCACTGGACGACAAGTGAGTCCTGATATCATGTCAGTCAATGTTCAGGGAGCTCAGTGTGCTAATCAGCAAAGCACAATTTTAAATCTTGCAAGTGTCTTTGGAATGTCCATGTATGCAGGGAGGTGGAGGAAATGTTGGGACTGACAAAAGTGTTCCGGATTCTGGAGAGAGCTGGAAAGGTAACGAAATCCAAAACCTTATGATCCACTAGACTTCATAATGAAATACTTTGGCACATTGCTTGTCCTGCTGTGGTAGCTGCACACAATGTCCTGCCCACCGAACCTCCTGGAGAAGGTTTGTAGGAATTGACTCTCAAACTGGGAATGTTTTCTCCCTGAAAAGAGTGTGGCTGTTTCTCTGTCTCCTTCAGCCACTGGTGGGGCACAACATGCTGTGCGACCTTGCTCTCATCTACCAGAGCTTCTGCCAGCCTCTGCCAGGTAGCTATACACCACGTGAGCCTCCCATTCATTGGACTACTGTGTTCTCCATTGCAGAAACCTATGAGGAGTTCAAGGCAGAGATACACCAGATATTCCCTGTTATTATAGACACCAAACACCTCTGCTTTGCTGTTCAGAAGGTATATAGGAGTTGTTGGAGGTTTCCGGGAAACCTCGACTATTGCTACATCGACAATGGTTTATACAGTAAACATTGCAGTGATGTAAAAAGACAATCATTTATAGGAAAGTAGTATATTCGTGCAAAAATCAGGGGAAAAAAGACATTGACCGTCCATGACTGTTGGTGTGTGCTGAGGACAAGAGATTTGAACATAGCAAGTTCAACACTTTTACTAATTGCCTTTCTGCTGCAGAGATTGTCGCAGACTAAACTGCTGGAGTTCACCAGTTTGACAGATCTCTGCGGTGCACTGGGCAGGTAGGCCTCCCCCTGTCTCCTCTCACTAACTGGTGTCTGGTGGCGTATTGTTCCAGTCAGAGAGGAACTTTCTATGCCCTCTTCTCACCAGAGGTATCTCACGGGGAACAGTGCCACAGATACAGTTAAGCATTCCGCACGAGCAACATGCAAGCACTCGTTTGTCGTTTTTCTGTCATTAAATCTGTCTTGCATTAAGCTGCACTGCCACAACATAAACCTATGCATCGTGCAAAAGTGCTTGTTGCAAACCAGCCTTAACTTGACTTCATGCTCATTGAACTATATCCAGGTGGCGAACGGGTTTTTCACGAAGCTGGGTTCGATGCCTACTGTGCTGGATTTGGTCAGTTTTTTGAGATCATTCGTGATCTGACGCTTGTCGTGTCTGTATTCTAGTGTTCCTGAGAGTCGCCCATCTCTTGGCCATGAAAAACGTCAAGTGAGATACTAGCGCCTCAGAACTGATCTCGAAATGCAGAGACAGTCATGTGAGTGGCTATAATACTATATACTGCAGGTCCACTGAAGCACAGGCTATTCATCTAAGGAGGTACTTCAAACTGATGGAACCATTTATCAACAGAATCAACCTGATTCGAGGCCCCATCCACTACATAGTGAGTTATATAGCTCTGGGATAGGAACCCCTCTATAAGGACACACATCTGAAATGAGGACACCTCTCTAATAAGGACACCCATTCTTGGTATATACAGTACAATAACTGTTCTTTCGTGCATTTAACCCCTGAAATAAGGACACCATCTTCTGCCCAATTGGTGTCAAGATTGGAGGCCAGTGTTTATTTGCAGGATCTGGTTGCAAGGGACCCTCCACTGATCAGGTCTCCCTGGCTAGTTGTGAGCACTCCCGACAGATCTCAGCTCACTCTCCAATTGGTGAGTGTGATGGTGCAGCAGTTTTACAACATTCACTGTTTACCTAATGCTTTGTTATAAGTCCTACTCTCATGTATTACTCCATGTGAAACTTCCCCTTAGACTAGCGTTCATTGTGTGGTATATAATAGATGTTGCTATTTTCGTACCAGCTGCAGAAAGAGTTGAATTGTGTAATGGATGTGCGCCAACTCACCCCCATACTCGGCCGTCATTGTTGTCAGCTCTAGGAGGAGGTCTCTTACTCACTAATCTCTATAACTATGGTTTGTTAGTTTGAGATGTTTGTTACGTGCAGAGCCGAAGAGCTGATGAAGGAGCTAGACCAGGAGAAGCTCAGAATCAGAAAATACTGCTTGACAGATTCTCCGCTCATGGCTAGAATCATAGGGTATGGTATAATGTAAGAAGTAACCCTGAATGTAACGTGTTGGTTTTATCTATGCTCTAGGCTGGGATCATTGACTGTTGCTGCTGCAGTTATTGGAACAGTCGTCGCTGTGTACTGGTCGAGAACTCGCTCTTTATGATGTCATTTGATATAGAAAAGGGGGCGGAGCTGGTGGTGCGCGTCATTTAGACTCATGCAGCGTTCTCGCAGACGCGGGGGGAGCAGGTGCTTGGTTTTGGGACCCCGGGGAGCCGGGAAATCGCTGCTGGTTAGGAAACTGAAGTCCCTGGAGAGAGAAAAGGGACGAGGAAGAGAGATAGAAGACTCGGGGGCTACGCGAGAGGTGCCCCCGCAGCCTACCGTGGGAACCTCAGTGGAAGAGCTGCAACTGGGAAAGAACGTCAGTTGTCTTGTGAAGGAATACGGCGGGGCTATGGCGCCTGTTTGGAGCGCGGCGTACTCCGACTGTGACTTGGTGGTGTACGTCATCGACGCCACAAATTGCACGCAGACATCCGCGGCTACCGTCCTCCTGCTAGACGTACTGAGACACGAGGCGTTGAAAGAAAAGCCTTTCCTACTCGTCTTCAACAAGCTGGACCGCCAATGCCCCATGAACCTGACTGAATTCAAGACTGTAATGAGACTGGGTGACATACTACGGCATGTCACCCAAAACGTTCAGCTGGTGGAGGGAAGTTGTGTAGAAGGATCTTTGTTAGTCAGGCAGGTGCACGAGTGGCTCTTTCACTCAACAAACCTTATTATTTCAGGTGTGTCATAAACATCTGGCATTACTTCTGCAAGCACACACAAAAACTACGTGTCGCGCTACATGGCACCAACATGCAAACAGACAACCTTTGGGGATAATACATGTAGATATACATACACAGGTGTTGCTAACACACAGTCTACAGCTGCCTTCGTATATCCTTGTTGACTGCCTTTATTTTCATGTCGTTGCGGTCCATCTTGTAGTTGAGGCGATCGACCTGGGCCGAGGAATCGTCCAACTGTCCCCCGATTAGCTCCCCCACCCCCCTCAGCTGGTGCAGAGCTTTACTCATCTCCTCACAGTTCTTATCCACGACCTGGTTCCCTGTGCTCTTCAGCCCAGCCACAGACGGCGGGGGTGCGGCACTCGCGGAGCTTTTGTAGTGGTCAGAGCTCTCAGAACCTCGGGAAGAACCCTTGGGCATCTTGGGGTCGGTCACCTCGTTGATTTTCTTCTTACGAGCGAAGTAATTGGCTATCCCTCCGAACGGAGACTTGATATGTCGCATGTGCTGTTTGCTCTTGTCCAAGTTCACGTGCATCTCGTCCAGTCGCCTCTCCGTCCGGTCCAGAGCCTCCGCCTGCCGCTCCAGCTCCTCGGCAGTGTCCGAACCCATGTTCAGACACTCGTTGAGCGTCCTAAGGCTCTGGGCGGATGATTCTTCCATCCTACGGTTCGCCAACTGGTGTCTGTACCTATACTCGCCCGCTTCCCTCTCTGTGTCTATACCCCTGTCTGCGCTGTAGCCTCCTCCCCTCCCCGCACCGTAGTCGTCCCTACCGCCGTACCCATCTCTGGACAAACACACACACACACACACAAGTAAGAGCTTTGTCCCGGGAGATTGTGTTGGGCCACTCACTTTCCGCCGCCCGAGCGGTTGTCACGGCTTCTACTACCGCCGCCGAAAGACGGGCCGTCGTCATCGTCAAAGGGGTTCCTGGCATTAGCACCATAAGATCTCGCTGCCATCTCTCTCAGTCTGTTCGTCGCAGCGCAAAAACGATTTCTGAGTGTTTTGGCTCACAAATTCGCGTGTTTATAACTTTATGTCACATGCCCCACATGTGACCGTAAACGTGCAAACTTCCGTGCTAAAAATAGCACAAGATGCGTAATGATGTCATTTATTATCTGAAGGCTAGCAACAGGAACACAATGAGGCATACAGCAATAACTCCGCCTAGAATGAGTGAGTCTCTGCGTTTGCGAAGGTTTATCTTCTGAACAAGACTGTTTATCAGAGGAAATCGAGCTGGGCAAAGTCAAGGATATTTCATTTATCAGCCTTGCCCCCAGGTTGATATTTGATGTGTGATATAAACACGTCAAGAAGATTTCGAACCTAACCCAACCATTATACAGAGTGAGGATACTAGTCATGGCTGCAACTCGACTGGTCATCCCAGTAAACATGTCCCTCTGTCGCGAGAGGTTTTCTTTGGTTGATATGGCAATACTGGACGACAATAACATCGTGACGCCACAATTTACAATTGAACACATATCGACTATACCTGATGGCTTCATCTGTCAATTTATCAGAACTGTAGGGACATTGACATCATAAGCCTCTATACATATATACACACAGATCTATTGTACCTTTGAATGTGTTCATGCTCCTTTAGGTAGAGCTCCGTTCGTCTGTTCAGCGCTGATCCCTTGTACCTGAGGCATCACCAAAGCATATAAATCTAGACCACACCCCCCACCGACTCACCCCTCCTTCCTGGATGACCCTAACAGTTCTTCTCTCTGTCTCTGGGCGAGGATGTTGCTCTGCCAACCAGAACAACAAAGTCATGCTAACAGCACAACAATAATATGGCAAGGCAAGTGTATTTACGGCACCCTTTCCAACTCAAACCATTACCATAATCGGTGAAAAAAGCAACTATGTATATACACCCACGAAAACAGTAGAGCTCTCTCTCTAACCACACGACACTTTGCCAAGGAAACCAAAATCTTTTCAGGGGATATATTCCCCAAAAGAACCCTTTTGTGATGTTTTATTAATCTTCAACAGAGAGTAAGTAAAGTAGCAACAGCTCTCCAGGGGAAGTGACTATGAATATGCTCACTTTGATTCTGTTGAACTCCTGGCCGTAGTCCTGCAGGATCTCGTTGTGCCTCTGGAGAGTGTGGTAGAGAGTGGTGGTGGGGGTACTGGAGTTGAGGTTGGAGACGTACTCGTTCATGGAGCTGTTGACTCTTCGCAGCTGGAGGACCAGAGACCAGTGTATGCATGCCTCTTGGTTTAGTCTGCTGAAAGACACCACTGACCTTGCCTAGAAGCTGCTCAATTTCGAGTGCGAGGGTGTCAAAGACGTGACCGGTTCCTCCTAGTGCAGGATCAGAACTGGTATATACATAGGAGAGTGGACTTTTGAAAGAGGGATTTGCTTTCTGGAAGGTGCTGCCAACCTCGAGTCTCTGTGGGAGTAGCTGGAGCCAAGTTTACTGAAGGAGACCAGTTTCTGATCCACTTCGTTCTCCAAACGCCGAGACTCTTTCCTCAGCTCTATAGGTGTTTATAGAGTGGGTTTCAGCAGCACAGCGATTGGGCCACGTACCTTCCCAGCGCGATTGAAGAGGCATAGCCATTGTAATGGCTACAGAGTGTACTGGAAGATGGCTGAGGACGAGATCAGCAAACAAAACGACGTGAGGAAGAGAGGGGAGTATGGAATCCTGAGAGGGGACAACGCCGCCACGTCACCACGCAGAAAATATTGAAATTTTCCAACAACTCGCGCATGCCGCATAAATGGAACAGAATTACGATCATGATTGTTTGACTGCTGATGACGGGGCGGGGGTGTGTGTGTGATATATTATGACAAGTGAGGCTGCCTTAGGGTAGGAAATTCTTGAGAAATGGTCTTCCAAAACGGTCCATGAATCTATCTACCAATCTATAGTGGACACGAAAAACACTGTTAAATTTATATGATGCAGTACATACATACACCGACCTATCAATCGGTTGAATAATGAAAGGGATACACCCCAGACCAACAGCAGTCACAGTCCATCTCTGTAGAGCCGGCGACATCGCCATCTGTCGCTGAATCACTCTCTGTCTCAGCAGCAGGCGAGTCAAGGCACATGCTCGGTTGATGGTGAATCCAGGAACAACAACAGATGCTAATCCTTGCCATACTAGCGTGTCCACCACTGCACCTGACTTAGTCACATGTGACTCATGCAAGGTCTTAACAATTCCACCCTGCACGAAACAGTCATTACTAATTTTCTTATTTCTGAGAAATTATGTACATGTGGACTGGTAGGTCTGCTGGCTCGAACTCCCTGCTGGAGGGCATGGGCAGCCACGTAGCTGCTGGACACGAGGTAGGTCAGGTAGACCCACCTCACCCCCACCATGTGCCGGAATGCCTCTCCCACTTCATTGGCATAGCCTGGTATAATAATCATTAATGTAGGTGACATCTGATCTCAGTTTATGATCAGGTGAAAATTGATCATCAAGTTCGTACAGAAACTGACGTCGCAAAGGCAGCAATGGAGGTGCGAGCATACCCAGGTATCTCAGAGGTACTTCTCTGAACGGGTCCCTCGCTAGCTGGGCTCCTTTCCGCCAAGGCGGCGGCGGAGACAGCTCTGCAAACTCCGCCCCCATGCCAGCAATGGAAAAGCGTCGATTCAGCAACTTTCGTCGCTATGGAAATTCATCTTATCACGTGGGTGCCTAGCAAATCACGTGACTTGCCCGAAGTGCTCGTTCTTCGCTGTAAAAGATGACGTCTCTAGATGAGCACGGCGGCAGGCAGATCAGGCCAGGAAAGATCTTCAGCGAAGATCACAACAAGCCGGCGGTGGCCGTGACTCCCAGAAGTAAACCCGATGTGGATACGTAGCTATAGAGCTTCACGTGAAGCTTTTCTCTCGTCTACACCAGGTGAAGAAAGAGTTCTAGAAGAATTTGACTTGGACTATGCTTTTGGACCGTCCAATGGTAGGCAATGTGCTATCCATCCACAGAGATGAGGCTGATCTGATCGATGCTTGATGACAGGTATTTCCAGACTGATGAGGTGGGAGAGGGCCCAAAGACTGTGCCTGAATCCTCCGGAGGAGGTGAGACGGATCATTCTGCAGCACGGCTCTGACTCCAAGTACAACGAGAGGTATGTAGAGTCCGCTGCAAGCTCTTACAATTCCCTTTCTTGCATTTCTCTCTACTGCAGTCTGTGGAACCGTCATATCTCGGGCATAAAGTAACCCGTTTCTACCAAATGAACAGACACTTTTTATACACTCACTTTCATAGTCCAATATGCGTTGATCATTGGTGCACACTGTACTGGAATATATCCATTAATTATCAGAGATTGAAACACACTGTGGCAAAAAGCATGTACTGTAAGACACCTTAATTAAATTGTGTGCAAGTGTCTGTGCAATTGTGTGTGAGTGCACTGTTGCACTGCCAAATGTCTTTTTAATCATGTCGGATTCAATGAAAGTTTCTTTGCTAATTGTTTCGCCAAATCACTAACAGTTTGACTATCATTCTGAGTCAGAGAGTCTAGTTTATCAGTCAGTCCTTCCAACATCACTAGCTTCTCTCTCACTTCAGCTGTGCATGACACAGATAACATACGATTTCTAGACTGTAGCAATGGATAATAATTATATACCTGTCCACTGTTTCTCAGCCAGCAGAACTAGGAAGGTCAGTGCATTGCTCACCAACTCAGGAGAGCTATCACCAGCCGAGACCACACCCCAAACTCCACCCACTACCACCTCGTCTGTAAGAGACGTCTTGAATTCCCCATCGTCCTTCACAACTGCCAGTAGGTTTAGAGCTAGCAGAGCCTCGTTTCTTAGAGACAGGTGGGCGGAGTCCAATAGAGACGCTATCAATTTAACCCCTCCTTCACTGATGACCACTCTCATTACCTCTGAAATGGGAGCACACAATGGGGTTAAAAAGCTCAGAAGTTGAAAATGTGGGCATGTACAGTAAAGGAGCCAGAAAGATTTCTTCTCCCTAGCATATCGGGAAAAAAGAAGATTAAGATGAGACGCACCCTCAGACTGGCAGTATTTGACTAGTCCAGCCAGCAATCTGCTACCCTCTATCTTGACTTGAGCTGGCTCAGCCGGCGAGCATCTCTCACACACCAGAGCCACCGTCCCTGGCTGGCTCAGCTGTACACACACCTCTGAAGAAAAAAAACTGCACGTTATCTTTGAATGGGTCGAGAAGTGTCTTGAGAGGTGTCTTGCCTTTCAGGGGGGCTAGTAGTCTGGCAATCCCGAGGCACTTGAAGTGGACGTGAGGCCATTTGCTGTCTCTTAAACACCTCAATGCAGCATCCAGGACACCACTCTCGACCAGCCCTGCCTTCTGTGACACTGCAGGGACAAAGATTTAGACCAACATCCTCCAACACAGCAGAGGATTGGTCGGTGTGCTGACAAGCCAACGTCCTACTGTACCTGGGAGACAGAGATTCCTGAGAGCACTTAATGCAGATACAAGCACCTTTCCAGAGAGCTGAAGAAATAAGCAAAATAACCCAGAGAGCTGAAGGGAAAATTCAACGAGTAAATAAGAACTGCAAACCTCTTCAGGTTCCTCGATCTGAGTGAGATGGAGGAGGAGAGAGACAAGCCCACGAGAGATGAACATCTCGCACATTTCATCTGCAGAGGAAACACACCCACCACACAGTTTGACTCTAACATTAGAGGACTCGTTACTGCTGACCAGTGCGGGCCATATTGGCCAGTAAGAGGGCAGAGTTGGCTCGTTGTGGCAGAGTCGTGGGCGCCTTCAGCCACCCCAGTGCCGTGGTCACCAGCTCCTGCTGCGCTGACACTAGCTTCAGACTCTCATCTATGACGTGTACCATGCAATAGTTGCAGATGTGTGAATTTCAGGGTAAAAAGAAAGTTTTGCAAAAGTGTGAGAGTATTTGCAGAAGTTTTATTTGTGAAATCTTGTGAGCTATCTACAAACATTCAATTTTTATTAGCTATCACAATACCACATTTTTCAGCAAAAGGCTCCCCGCTATCATATCGGGCGACTAGTTACCATTGGCACAGATGAGTATGAGAAGGTCAATGGCTTTCATCTGAAGAGACGGACTGGAAATGTGAGTCAGTTTCTCCACACATCCAGCCTCCACCACTGCCACTTTCACCTCATCTGCACACCACACAGCACTCAGAGCTTATAACGTGAGGCCATTTCAGAGGGAGACCCTAACCATTAGCATTGATTGCCACTTCCATAGTCTCCAGTAGAGGCTGTAGTTGATCAGAGAGGTCTTGGCTGATGCACCGACTCAGGAGGTTGGAGAAAGCTTGAGAGAGAGGACAAAGGAGGGAGCAGTTTTGACTCAGTGGCACCTGTAGATAGAGACAGAGAGAGAGAGGAGAGGAAGAGAAGTGTAAGGGAGAGAGAATAGAGGGCTAAGTGGTGTGAAACAAGAGGGGAGTGGAGGGAAAGAAAGAGTGGAAGGAGGGAAAGAGAAAGGAAAAGAGCAAGGAAGACACAATCATATGAACACCTGCAGCTAGTAGAACGTAGAGAGCTTTAGTCCCATGGTGATAGTTGACTCGTCTTCCCCTGGCCTGGCCAGGAGAGCAGAGAGATGCTCAGCTGCCCCAAGACCCAACATCTCCTTACACAACTTGTCTGGATAGAGTGACATATTATTAAAACGCTTCTCAACACACTTCACTGGTATTGGGCTACCGTTGTCATTGACTGTGTTTAGCAGACAGCCACACGTGACACATTTGAGACGATCAAACTCCCTCGCCACCGGCAGCCGGGAGGAGCTCTTTAGCTGCTCAATGAGTAGGGGGCACCCTCCACTGCTCAGCACAAGCCCACGATTCCCATCTGAAAAAACATGAACAAAGTGAGAATTCCGTTGAGAAAAAAGAACAAACGTGAACAAAGTGAGGAGTTTCACATTATATTATGTATATACCGTGGTCGAAGCAGAGGTTTCCTACGGCCCTGAGTGTTTGTAGTTGAGTGTTTCTCTCTTCAGAGGAGAGCAAGAGACACAGTCTGGGGACCACTCCACATGACAAGGCCAGGTCTCTGAAACTGTCTGCAGTCGTACACACTGCTATGTTATAGTCTACTCTGTGAGGGAGGAAGTCACCTTCTCTGGAGAATGCTGCAAGGACTTCGACAACGTTTGCCTGGAGCTCACGATGAGTGTCCAGAGTTGTCAGGAGGTCTCTGCATAACTCTACACTGCAGTCATCTGTGTGAGCAGAGAGTATAGGTAAGGCACACTGGTTCGGTTAAGCAAGTTAGGACTTTGTCTTCTGCAAGCTAGGGGAAGAATTTTACCGTCTTGGTCCAGCAGTTTCTTCAGTGCTTCCTCTACTGTAGCCTTGTCCCCCGACAGAATTCCAGCCATAGCTTCCAATTAGCGCATGTGCTTGTTGTCGCGCGCATGCGGTTATAGCTACATTCCAATTAAAGCGCACTGCATGCTCTTCAATAAAATGGCGCCCTACTTTGGACATTTAGCAGAGAAGAAGGTGAGTTGATTTTTTTGGTTAAAAGGGATTTTTCAGCTGTGAAATATGGTCGTTTTGGCACGAATTCGCCACTTTCTCGTCAAATATACCAATAATGAGCGGTTTTACTCGGAAATCGCGGCGTAAATCTTGCAAAAATATTGGGGTCGTGTTTTTGCCGCCTTTTCGGCGCACTGCCTGGTTTCAAGATCAGAGCTCTGTTTCCCTCGAACGGCTGTTGCGTCTGGGAGGTAATACAACATTTCTAGTGACTGCAGCAAAAATGGGTGTAATTATAGAGGGGGTGTGACTACTATATAAATTGTGCATCCCCACACTTTTACTCCCTTCCTGTTCATACCCACTGCTGTTCAGAGTCATATCTAAATGTCGGGCACCAAGCGCCCAGCAGGAAAGGATTTCGATCCCCCAGCTCTCCCCACGAAGCAGCTTCGGGTCGAACCACCGCTGAGCCAGCAGCCGACAGCTCAGACTCCTCCCACTGGCCCCGCCCCTTCTCCAGGGACCCAGCAGTTTGTGTTGCCGGGGAGACACCCTCTGGACACCTCTCGGAGACTCTCTCAGGGAGCCAGGCTCATAGGGATTCCTGGAATCCTCCCTAATGTCTCACGGCAGCCTCCACCTCATCTTCAACCTGCTTCAACTTTTAGTTTCCCCTCTCCTGCCTCCTCTCTCTCCCCTCTCGGGCTCCCGGTTCACCCGCCTATACCTGCCGGGGGCCTCGTTGGAATCTCCCCCAATCCTGTGACGGGGTTACCCCATATCCGTTCCCCCCACATCCCTCCGTTCCCTCCGATGGGACACATCCCTCACTCGCAGGCTCCGCCCACCGGCATGGTTGCCTTGGAAACCTCTTACATCCCGCCGGAGCACCACGCTGTGACTACAGCTCAGTTAGCGCTAATCAGACCGGGATCCCCTGCAGCGGTGCCGTCCCTCGGACTCCCTCGTCCGCTAATAGCTGGAAGCCCCCTGACTCCGCCACCCCCCTACCCAATCGCCCCCCTCCCTCACAATGTGGGCGGGGCCACTGGAGAGGAATTCATGTGTGCCTCACCCTCGCAGTTTCTTCGCTCCCCTACCTCCATCGCGTCTTCTTCCCTCCCCTCCTCCATTGAATCTCCCCTGCCTTCCAGACAGACCACTGCTTCATCTGACAAAACCTGCGATACTACCACCGCCCCTGCTCTGCAAAAGGAGAAACGCTCGTCTGTGGCTCCGCCCCTTCATCATGGTCAAACCCGGGTGGGTTCAAAGCGAGACCACCACTCAGTCAAGACGAGGCTGTTGAAACACCAGCGGTCCCGGTCGGCTGGGCTGAAACTCCGCTACGAGATACAACTAAAAGAGCTATTCTTTCTCGAGGGAGATGGTAACATGATGGACTTTCTGCAGTGGAAGAAAAAGCCAAACATCCTCCGCGAGCAGTACCTCAAGCAGCATGACATTGACGGAGAGACCACTGCTGTTTTTGGACAGCTCTCCCATAATGTCCCTCTGCCCCTGTTGTCCGACGTAAAAACGAGTCAGGCCAGATTGGACTCGGAGCACCCGCTCCCTCCCGAAATCTCCGAGACTGAGACCTCGGGCACACACCGTCGATCTAGCAAGACAATAGGAGCCGGAGGCAGCAGCGGTCGGAGTCACTCTAGACACGATTCCTCGTCCTCGACTCGGATCCAAATCCCTCTCTCGACGGTGTCTCCCAGTCTCCAGGTGGTCTCCCCGCTCCCTCCTGCCCCTCTCGCCTCCACACCCAAACCTCCTTCTCTTCCTCCCTCCACTCCTTCCTCTCCCCTGAAATCGTCCCTACAGCTCTCCTCCCCTCGTCCGTCGACTCGCGCTCAGCTCCAGACCCAAGTCTCGTTCTCCTCAGTGTACGAGACATCTCACGAGGACATTGTGATGAGGGCTCGCCACGAGGCCGAGGTGATGCGAGCCATTGCTGATCTGAGGAAGGAGGGGCTGTGGTCTACCAGCAGACTGCCAAAGGTCCAGGAACCGGGCAGACGAAGAGCTCTCTGGGATTTCCTTCTGGAAGAGATGCAGTGGCTGGCCACCGACTTTGCCAACGAACGACGCTGGAAGATAAACGCAGCGAAAAAGGTAAAATCACTTTTTTCATGTCTGTTTTTGTGGTCATCCACAGACCAGTAATGTATGGTGTTTCGTTTGCTTTGCCTTTGCCTTATGATTAGCACAAACTGACAAAGTTTTTGCAAAGGTCATCGATGATGTTCTCTTATGTCGACCATCTTGCCCCAACCTAAAGCATTGCGTTGACTGTCGACTGCATCAATGTTTCCCAAGTCCCCGATACTATTGCTTCAAGTACTACTTCTTTCTATTTCTATCTACAGTTGTCACGGTCGATGTTGAGACACCACCAGGAGCAGAGCACGCTGGCCCAGCGCTCTGAGAAGGAAGAGCTGCAGAGGCTGAAGAAGATCGCCTCCACCATCGCCAAGGAAGTCAAACACTTCTGGGAGAGTGTTCGCAAGGTGCGGTGGCATCTTGTACATGTGATATTACGAGGGTGGTTGGGGAATATTGGCAAAACTTGAGCAAAGAAGGAGTGAAAATTGGGCTCTATTCACGTGCTCATACTTACTTGCCAAAGCATGACTGAAGTTTGGTATACTTCAAACAGTATGTGAACGTGTGTGAATATTCCTGTGTTGTACTCTTGCTGTGTGTGTAGATTGTGGAGCTGAAACACCAGTCGCTACTGGAGGAGAAGAGGAAAGCAGCCATGGACATGCACCTCCAGTTCATCGTGGACCAGACTCAGAAGTACTCAAACTGGTTGGTGCAGGGTATGGGCGGGAACACTCCGTCGACCACGCCCTCTCTCGCCCCCTCCCTCACCTCCTCCTCCATACTCTCAGAGACCGGTCAGTCAATGTACAGAGTGTCCAAGTTGAGAATTCACTTTGCCATTGATTAATGTTCCCCAAAAGTTATATGTATTGGATTTGTACCGAACGTAGACCAGAGTAACCTAGTGTGAAGTGACAATCTTTTCTCAATGGCTGTGTGTAGGTTCAGAGTCCATGTTCACTCCAGTTCATGAGAGTGATGACGAGGCCACCATTGACAAGGAAGAGAGAGACATGGAGAAGGTAACTCTTCTCTTTTCCCTCCCTTCTTCTTTCCTTCCCTTTCCTTCCAACCTCTGAGTAAGGGACACATTGAGTACATCTTAAGTGCCCTTCACCCAGAGGTGTTCCTGATTTAGAGGTAGTAGTATGGGGCATAAAAAATAACCTTGTAGATCGGTGTCCTTTCTTTGGAGGGCTCTTTTCAGAGGTTTTCCCCCTCTCCTTGCCGCAGGAGGGAGGGGTGGACTACGGCACCGAGATTCGTCAGTTGGAGGTGGAGGGTGAGATGCCAATCATGGACCTCATTGCTTCCCTTCCCTCTGAGATCATGTCTATACCTCCTACCACCACCACCGGTCTTCAGGGAGCCATGGAGGAGGAGGGGGGAGGGGAGAAAGAAGGGAAGGAGGGAGAAGGAGGAGATGCAAGTCCAGAGAGATCTGAAGATCCTTCGCTGCCGGTCAAGAGAGTGACAAGGTCAGTGTGACAATTGACGTTTTCATCTTTCAGTCTCGCTCCATACACATCTGGTGTCATAAACGTTGGCATATCATTTTTATGTGCACTTGGTAAAAATTTTCCGCAGGTCTCGTGCAGTGGCTGATGCCAAGGAAGAGAGTAAGACAGTTGCTGACACAGCATCAGTGGCAGGAGAGAAGGGGGAGGAGGGGGAGGGGGAGGTGGGGGAGGGTGTGAAGGGAGAGGGAGAGGATAAGGACTACGAGATGGAAAGAGAGGAGGAAGAGGAAGATGAGACGACAATTCAAGAACAGGAGAGACACGAGGAGGGAGAGGGAGAGGGGGAGGGGGGAGAGGAAGTCGACCACCAGGCCGAGATCGATGAGCTGAACAAAGAAAGTGAGTCCCAAAAAACATCAACTCTCTCTCTCTCCATGAACATACAGCGTAACCTCTCTCTCTCTCTCTCTCTGGTTCAGATGAGCTGTCACTGGAGGAGCTACTGGGACTGTACGACCTCAAGAGAAGGTCGGCAACTCCAGACACCACTCTGGACGGAAGCAGTAAACCTGACACCTCAATAGCAGGTTGGTTGGTCTGTGGCTGCATTACCAATGACAATTCTGTGTAACCTATTTTAGGTGTGTAAGTAGCCAATGTCTGTCAATTTTTCGCACCTGGCAAATCATGCATGAATCACGGTTGTAATTGAGTGGAATTACAAAGAGCATTATTTGTGTGTGTAGGTGCCGTCTTTCTAGCTGTACAGTATTGTGTGAGGTGGGACTCTCTCTGTGTGTTGTATAGGATCAGATGTAGGTGAGAGTGAAGAAGAGGAGGAGGAGGAGGAAGATGAGGAGGAGGAGAAGGAGAAGGAGGAGGAGGGGAGACTGGAGAGGGAGCAGTGACGACAGAGGAGGGTTTCTCCGGAGTGGCAGCTGCAGCTGAGCAGTTCCAGCCAAAGGGAATCACCCTCGCCACTACTGAAGTAATACCGGACTCTCTCTCTCTCTGTTAACAATTTCTCTGAGTGTTGGGATGCTATTTGTACTGACTGGGTTTGGCCCATTTCATCAACTGTATTCCTTGTAGCTGGCGCCAAACACTACCTATATATGTACTATGGACTGCATTGCCTCTACATTAGCAATTCCTTCCACAAGTCGTCCATACATATCAAACTTCTTTGGCCTTTTTGCAGTTTGAGAACCAATTGTTAAGGCTCCCTATCTCCGCAGGTGAAGACAAAAGTGCCGTTCTTGCTCCGAGGGACACTGAGAGAGTACCAGCACATCGGACTGGACTGGCTGGTCGCCATGGACGAACGCAGACTCAACGGAATCCTGGCCGACGAGATGGGGCTCGGGAAGACGATTCAAACTATCGCCATGCTCGCTCACCTCGCCTGCGAAAGGTCAGTCCCTCCCTCCTTATTTTCTCTCTGTCTCCCTTTCTGCTTCTCATGCAGCAAAATTGAGTGACTTTCAGTCACACATATGCATCTCAAACATCACTATTCAGCAACTACAATATGTTAACTGAACAATGGATCAAGCTGATGCACGCATGTAGTATGGATGCTAGCTGTGTATGTAGAAATCCGACCAACTCAAATAAGTCCCCATATTGTTCTGAGAATATCGTTGCCCCATACCGACGAATACTCAGAAAACTTCATGCGGGCCTGTTTCTCTCTTCCCCCCTCACCGCACTCTCCTCTCTCCTCCTACACTTTAACCCCTACCCCCACCCCAGAGGTAACTGGGGTCCTCATCTCATCATAGTCCCCACCTCAGTCATGCTCAACTGGGAACTGGAGCTCAAGAAGTGGTGTCCGGCCTTCAAGATCCTCACCTACTTTGGCTCCTTCAAGGAGAGGAAGCAGAAGAGAGTGGTGAGGAGAATCTTTATTCCTCTGTTGTTGTTTTTGTTTACTTTAGCTCTTTGTTTACTTTTTTGTTTGTTAAAGGGAATGCAGCAGTACATACATAAGGGCTGAAAATTAAGCCCTCTGTGCAGAAATACATTCCAAAAGTACCCATTTTATACGTATGTACTGGCACATTCCCTTTAAGCATGAAGCTAAACCCTTTTTCTTCTTCTTTGTTTACCTGCTGCTCGGTTTGTTTACAGGGTTGTTCTTTGTTTATCTGTTGCTTGGTTACAGGGCTGGAGCAAGTACAATGCCTTCCATGTGTGCATCACGTCGTACAACATTGCGGTCCAGGATCACCGTGCCTTCAAACAGAAGAGATGGAAATACCTCGTTCTGGATGAGGTTTGGGAACTTCTCTCTTTTCTCTTATATATGTCACCTGAAAAATTTGGCAATTTTGGTGACGGTGGCTGGAGTCGCCAATTTTCTCCTGTCACGTGCAACCTTGGTTTATTTCCCATTTCAAATTTACACCCATTAAGTGGGTGATTTTCCTTAAAATGCCATCTACGAGTGTGCAAAATTGAATTTCACGATTAGAGCTGCTAAAAACTATTAATTTATTTCCTTCTATCGCGTCGATGAAGCCACTATATTGGAATAGTCACTGGAATTCACATTACGTCGTCATTTCCCGTGCAGGCTCAGAACATCAAGAACTTCAAGAGCCAGCGTTGGCAGACTCTGCTGAACTTCAACAGCCAGAGACGGCTCCTCCTCACTGGCACACCGCTGCAGAATAACCTGATGGAGCTGTGGTCCCTGATGCACTTCCTCATGCCCACCGTCTTCTCGTCTCACACTGACTTCAAGGAGTGGTTCTCGAATCCGTTGACAGGGATGGTGGAGGGAAGCCAGGAGTACAACGAGTCCATTGTGACACGCCTCCATCAGGTGAGGGAGACAAGAGAGAGGGGAGTGGCTTATTGAGAAACGGTTAATCTGGTAAATTTTGTGGCTAAAGCAAAAACTAGGTAAAATTTGGTGTTACATATTTTGTGGCTTTGAAATAGGGCCCCTGCTCAAAGTTTCTCTGAAGAAAACTTTGTGGACGCTTCCATTTCTAAAGGTTTTCCCCCCTTGAAACTGTCCTGCCGTACTCTGGTAGACTAGAAAACTCTTAGAGACAGACAGACAGACGATAAGAGTATGTTGTGTGTGGGAGTGAGGCGAGGCCATCATCCGATGCAGATCAGAGGCAACCAAACACTCTGATCCGCTATTTCACAATGGCCGACAGAAATCGTACATTACAAGGAGGAGCACTAATCCTTGGACATCAGCTGGCTCCCTTCCCCCACCAGCTGATGTGTATACTAGGGCTCCACAATGCATATAATAAGAGGTCTTCCTTGTTAACTCAAGCGGTTGTCGAAAGTATCAAGTTTCGATGAGTGTGAATTTCAAAGTTTAAAGCACATCCATGGTTTAGGCGGGGAAAACCGTGGATCAAGTTGTGATTTAATTTCAATATGTTCCTCTCTTGTGTCTCGTTCCAAACTCCACGTGTGTTTCTGGTCTCATTCCAAACTCGTCGGGTGCAGGTTCTGAGACCATTTCTCCTCCGTCGGCTGAAGATGGAGGTGGAGAGACAGATGCCAAAGAAGTATGAACACATTCTGTCATGTCGTCTCTCGAAGAGACAGCGGTTTCTATACGAGGACTACATGTCCAGGACCAAGTGAGAGAGGGGAGGGGGAGGGAAGGAGGGAAAGAAGAGTTAATGTTAAATCTCCACAGGACGAGGGAGACACTGGCGGCAGGAAACTACCTCAGTGTCATCAACATCCTCATGCAACTGAGGAAGGTCAGCTTACGCAACCAACACATACACACAGAAGGCCAATCTATTAGGGACGCTGCATCTATTGTATATACACACATGCACACACACACACACACACACACACCACAACTCTAATAAATGCTCACCTTTCTTCATGTGTGCTACTATATATGTATTGTATCTTTTTCCGAAGGTTTTAACAATCCAACTATGCAATTATTTTGTATAACTCTAGACACCCCAATTTGTGTGGCGATGATTGTGTGCATCTCTCACTGCTACATACTACATACATTGTGTACGCAGGTGTGCAACCATCCAGATCTGTTTGAGCCACGACCGACCCTCTCTCCGTTCAGAATGACGGCCATTCGGTACTACTCTGCCTCTCTCGTCCTCCACGCCATGCAGTACGACCCCTTCAAGGTGTGTATATACACTTCATGTAGTGTAAAAAACCTTCGTGAATTTGATTTGGACATCGATTTTAGCAAGAGACGCTCATTGTGTTCATGTGCGTTTTCCGCTAAAATTTGTCTTATACATCATTTGTAAGAATTTACTGCCTCTCTTTTCCAACCCCCACACCACACACACACCCCCACCCCCAAATCCTCCCTATATTTCTTCCTCTCCCACATCCCCCACGAAGCACGTTTGTCTGGACCACCTCAATCTAAGACTAGCCGACACTGAATTCAAAGTCGGGGCCTTCGCGGCGTTCCGTTGCAGCCAGCTCCAGGCGCCCCGGGCCTTCCTTCTGGACCCATTGTCAGCCCATCCCAACGAGGTTGATCTGACTGGAGAGAGAGGCGGACTTCTGGCTGGAGGAGACGAGGGAGAGCTCGGCGACCTCGTCCTGGTAAGATCTCCAGAGCTCCATATGCCAGGGGTTAACGGAATAGTTCAATCAAAATGTGTTAATGTATAGGTGCTGGTAAAGAGCTGTTTCCTATATTTAGTGGGACACCTTTCACTAAAGATTTATGTGAAGAGGTTTTCTTGTGTACCCCTTTAACTGTGTACATATCTGGTGTATCTCTCTCTCTCCCTGTGTATATTATAGGTCAGCATATTTAGGTTAATTATAACCCTCTTGTGTGTGTATCTCTGTGTGTGTGTGTGTGTGTGTGTCTGCAGCCAGTTCTGACGTCGGCCCAGGAGGAATGGGGTATGGGCAGACACAGACACATGCACGACATCAATAGCCTCCGATGTCAACGTCAACCCATGTACGGCCGGGACCTCGTGCACACAATCCTCTCTCTCTGTCGACAGCCGGACCGGAGGCCCTCCCAACCCTCCTCGTCGTCCCCGGCAACCACTAATGAGGGGGTGTGGTTGTGGACGGGGTCTCTGGCCTGTGAGAGGGTGATGACGGGTGTTCGGCCAGAGGATGGAGGATCTGGGTCTCTGGCACTGAGCAAGGCTCTCTTGTCCTACCACACCAGGGCCCACATGATGGGGGACACCATTAGAAGGTCAACAAATTCCTCACATTTCTCTATCTCCTCTTCCTTCCTCTCTTCTTCTAATTACTGTTCCATGGCATAGTAGTGTGAAATCACTGTCAGGAGCCTGATTTATCGTATTTCCAGAAGTCTGTGAGGCAATGCTAATCTTGTCACATCGTACGCACCCAAAATTGATCTACTGGCTCGCCAAAAATGTCATTCTTGTACATATAGACGATCTTCCTTCACCACGTGTCCCTGCAGGTTCACTATAGCAGTCCCTCCAACCACAGCTCCTCAGATCTCTCTCCACTGCCACCACCCCCCTCCATCCCACGCCCTGCGAGAGATGGAGCTGGCCGACGCCATTTCCCGCCATCTCTCCCCCGCCTCCTCCCTCCTCCACACCGCGGCCACCGCAGCCTCTCTTCAGTTTCCTGAGACAAGACTCATCCAGTATGACTGTGGTAAGCTCATGCACCTCTATCAACCATTCCTTAACCCCTCCTCCTCAAGGCAACCCACAATTCCACCTAGAGTCCACGTGTCTCTTTCCCCCTCCCCTCCTTCCCAATACCTCTATCAACCTTTCATTAACCCCTCCTCCTCAAGGCAACCCACAATTCCACCTAGAGTTCATGTGTTTCTTTCCCCCTCCCCTCCTTCCCTGCAGGGAAGCTACAGATGCTGGACTCTCTGCTGCAGCAGCTAAAAATGGGGGCTCACCGTGTCCTCATCTTCACGCAGATGGCTCGCATGCTCGACGTCCTCGAGATCTTCCTCAACTACCATGGCCACACCTACCTCCGTCTGGATGGCTCCACCCCTCCACTCAAGAGACAGGTTCGGAACCTCCGTTTGAATGTTTGAGTTGTGAGGTTTGGAGATCGAGCTTGAGGTCGTGAACCTGGGAATGCATTATGAGTCGCGAGGTTTGGAGTATGTATGAATCAATCACACACACACACACGTATGGGAATTAGTCTTCTCCTCCTCCCTATAGTTCTTGATGGATCGATTCAACCGTGACAAGAAGATATTCTGTTTCATCCTCTCCACCCGGAGTGGTGGGCTAGGGGTTAATCTGACCGGTGCCGACACGGTGGTGTTCTACGACTCAGACTGGAACCCAACCATGGACGCACAGGCTCAGGACCGCTGCCATCGCATCGGCCAGACCAGAGACGTACACATTTACAGGTCAGACGTGCAGATTATCACAAGGAGAGTTCATTAGGTTCCTCAAGTAGTCTCCCCTTCGGTCCTAGTATCCTCTCTGCCAAATGCTTCCAGGAATTAAAAACTATTACAGTGAGAACGGATGAAAGGTTGCCAGAACGGTATTTGGCATTTCCACTTGTGTACCGGTACCGCACGCTAGAAGTGACTGGGCAAGTCCTAATTGTTTTGCCATCTACAATATCCTGTGCACGTCATGTGCACGTCTCTGGCAATGCTTTGGGTTTTTTTGCCAAGTTCTGAACCTCTGTCGGTCTCCGTGACATCTTAGAATACTTGTGTATGTGTGTACTATCTTCCTTGTGTCGTAACAGATGCCATAAGCTTCAGAGTGAGCTATTCACTACACTTGTGTACAGCAACAGCAGTAGTCCTCTTTTTAGGTTTAAATTCACTAGATTATTGTAAAGTGAGTATTTCAGACCTCAAAGAGTGTCCTTTTTTTGAGAGGTTGTGTCCTCTTGCACCCTCCACTGTACCCCACCAGGCTGGTGTCTGAGAGGACGGTGGAAGAGAATATACTGAAGAAGGCGAACCAGAAGAAGCTGCTGGGGGACATTGCCATCGAGGGAGGGGCATTCACCACGGACTTCTTCAGGAAGGTCTGTTAGAACATCTGCCGACCTTGTCCTGATCCCTTTCAGGACACTCCTAGCCCATGTCCTGATTTATATTTCTGTCCTCATTCCAGTCGTGTTTAGTGCCTCAGTCAGGACGCCTCAAGTTTCTTTAGATTTTAGGACACCTTCACCCATGTCCTGTTGTCCTGATTCAATTATGTAGGACACTCTTCAGGACACTACAAAAGTGTGTCGTAAACTCGCATATCTCCTCTCTCCACCAGGCATCACTGAGGGAGCTGTTCAAGGTGCAGAGAGAGGAGGGAAGAGGAGGAAGGGTTGCCATGGAAACACCCACGCAGGAAGAGAGCGTGCAGCTGTCTCAGAAACAGATCGAAGAGGTCAGAGTTCTCTTGTTGCCATGGTGCTACACCAAAGAGCGGACCTAACACTACACTAAGTGGCAGAACCAAAGGAGACACAGTCATTTGTCTGTTAGAGAGCTGCGTTCACTCGGCTGAATAATTATGCCAAAATGCATCCTCTGTGCTAATGTACAGACTGAATGTGTATAATCTGTGTGTGTTGTTTCCTACAGATGCTGGCTGATGTGGAGGATGACACGGACGTACAGGCAGCCAGAATGGCCAGAGCTGAGGAGACGGCCGAGATGGCGGAGTTTGACGAGACCTTTAGCTCCCAGTCCACCACCACCGCCGGTGCTGCTCCCAGCAAGGAGGTAGAGAGGGAAGAGGAGAGAGAGAGAGTGTGTTGAAACACTGTGATTCATGGCGTGCAGGGAAAGACGGCGTCGACGGCCGGAGTGGAGTCACAGGTACAGAGCGAGTTTGACAGACTGCAGGAGGAGCTTTCGGGCGTTGAGCAGTACGCCGTGCGCTACCTGGAGTCTGAGAGGGCACACATCACTAGTCAAGAGCTCCGACTGGCTGAGGTCTGAAAACTGTTCAGTGCTGTTTCCCTTCTCGCTACGCGCCACTGCACTTATAGAGATTGCATGTTTCAATTGCGATAAGGCAGTGTCTCCGAAATGTGAAGGGAAAATGCATTAGTTTCCGGCTCAACTTGAAAATTTGCCAATAGTGCTTCCTCCATGTTTTTCAAAGGAGACTGATGTCTTTCCTTCATGTTTGTTTCAGTGAGCAGGCGGGAAGTGTATTTTCAACGCTTTCGAAAGTGCAGGAAGTTTTTAGTTCTAATGGTTTGACGCTGTTGTTCCCACTCTTGTCTCTCTTGCTCCACCGACAGTAATAGTGATCCTAGAAGCAGTTTCCTAACCCCTCCAATCTCTTTTTTTGAGAGATCTAGACGGGTTTTCAGTAAATCATTTCTCACTCCCCCTCCCCCTCCCCCCTCAGGAGAACATCAAACTAGCGAAGAAGGACTGGGAGCTAACTCACCTCCAGAGTCTGAGGGCTGAGGAGGAGAGACTCGCCGAGGAAGAAGCAGAGGATGTCCTCCTCACCTACGACAGGCCTGAGACTGCCAACAAGGTGATCCTTCGACGAAGGCCCTCCACGGGGACCTGGGAGATTTTGTCTCGACCCCCCGAGTTAGATTTGGCCCCCGGGGACCCCGAGGAGAGGGGAAGGCACAAGGTTAAAAGGGCCGGCATTAGAGGGTCTAGGAGGAGCAGTCGTAGAACTGAAGCTGTTAGTGGGTCTGCCTCTTCTTCTTGCATCGGTAGTGTAGCTGCTGCTTCTAGCTCTTCTCTTGATATTGGGGCAGTTTATTTGGCCGACCAGTTGGATAATGGGACAGTTAACGAACAGGAGTCTCCCCTCCCTTTGGTTAATCATCATGACAGGGGTGGGTCACATGAGCGAAGTATATCATCACATGATCAAGTGGTTGACCGAGAAATAGAGTCACATGATCAGTTACACAACCAACAGCTTAAGTCACGTGACCTAGGGATAGAGTCACATGACCGACCTGATGGAAGTGATGTGGGATCACATGATCAGAGTTTAACTCCGAAGAGCAATGGACTGAGAGAGACGGAATCTTTAACCCCACCTCGACTTTCGTCTGAGGAGAAACAGCTGAACTTCCCGGCCCCTCTTTTGCTGGGGACGCCCCTGAAATCAGAGCCACCTTCCCCTCTCTTAGCCACACCCCCAAGGAGCTCCCGAAATCCGTCAGAAGTCGACACGGACTCAATCAGTTCCAGAACACGGCAGAGACAGCCTTCTCTCTCTCTGTCAGACCTCAACCTCCCCTCTTCCTCCTCCTCTTCCTCCTCTTCCCCCAGTCACAAGTACCCTACTAGGCACAGACTCCAGCATACTGTTAGCCTCAACTGAGCTTCCCTCCCTCCCTCCCTCCCTCCCTCCTTTGCTTCTTCTTTGCCACACTGAAGTGGTGTGTTAGGAGATGCACTTTGCTTTATAAGGATCGATTTTTCTCCCATCTTCTGTTTGAGCCCGTTCGTTAGCTCCGTACTTTCCATTCTCGCTGTCTCTTTTGTTTGTTTGTTTGTTTGTTTGTTTGTTTACTTGATTGTTTGTCTGTTTGCTGTGTTGTACTGAGCCACAAGTTCATGTCATGTCTCTGTAATTATGAATGAAACTGAATCAGTTATTTTTCTCCCGCGACCTGTCTTGCGTGACGGCGGCGCGCCAGAGATGAAGCGGGAGGGAGGGTTTCGCTGCCAAGGGTCTGGTGTCATTTTGTGTCTCTCTCACTCTACCTTCCGTGCTGTGTTGTGTGGTACAGGCAAAGTGAAAAAAAAACTGTTCCCTTCTCTTCCCTCTCTCTAGCCTTACAACGTTTTCGTTCTTTCTCATGGTCTCCAAGATTGGCACCAGACCCCAGCTACCAGTTGTTCCCCTCTCTCCCACTTTACTCGGCTGCCTGTGCCATGCAAGACAGGTCGTGGTAGAGTGAGACATGACATGACGTGACTGGCCCAGACTTGTCCGGCTCCATGATGCATTGTCCTGTTGCCCGATTGACTGTCCCGGTGCATGATGCATTGTCCTGTCCTGTCGCCTGATTGGCTGTTCCGGTGCATGATGCATTGTCCTGTCCTGTTGCCCGATTGGCTGTCCCGGTGCCTGATGCATTGTCCTGTTGCCAAATTACTGCTCTGTTGCATGCCTGTTACCCAATCCCAAAGAAGGTTTAATAAGCATCATATTTGGTCATTTTGGAGTTCCTGAAGTGCAGGAAGATGAATCAGATGTGCATGAGTCACAATGGATTGTTGTTAGCTGACAGAAATGGGCAGTATAGTCTAGTTGATGAGCTAGTGTCAATACTGTAGACGCAGATCATTATGCTGGGAACCTGGTGACACATATGGGCCAAATGTACGCCCGTTTTGGTAGAATTGGAATGTTGCTTTCCTGAGAACAACGATGATGCCATTCACAAGTAATAGTTAAAACCATTTTGGGAATGTAGTGTAGTGAGAGAGTCATCTCTAATTAATGCCCGCTGCTCTCCTCCGGCACAGATGATTGTGGACAGAGAGACTGGAGATGAGATGCCGGTAAGCCCCTTCTCCCCCTCCCCTCCTCCCCTCCTCTCCCTCCCCCTCCACTTACACTAGCTACTGAATATCAAATTATGGTATTGAGGGACATATGTACATGATGGGGTATCCACTAGCTAATACTAATGGTTTGGCCCAGAGACATGAATAAATGTCAGACTTCCAAACTAGAAAGTGCAACCCTATAATATGCCTGCATGGTTACATTATATACCTAATGGGGAGAGGTCAGAGGAATGATGATGTCACAAAGCATGTTTGGACCATGTGGATGTTGACATTGTGTTACAAAATAGGTCAGTGGAAATTACCCTAGGTATCAAGACACGTTTTACACTCAGCAATGAGAAGTGTCATTGTGTGTAATGTGTACTGTGTTTAGGGAGTTTCCCTCTCTCTCTCTCTCTCTCTGCTGGGGGTTTTCCCCTCCCCCTCTCTGACCTCTCTGACCTCTCCCCCCTCCCCCTCTCTGACCAGATGTGGCTACCTCCAACTCCACCAGCCGAAGAGGAAGATGTAATTTACGTGGATCCCATTCTGAGTTTGACCTATCACCTCTCTTCTACCATCAGTCCTGCCGTGTTGGCTGCCAATGTTCCTTTCCAGTAGGCAACGAGGGAGGAGGGAGGGAGGGGGGGGAGGGAGGGAGACAGTAGAATACTGCAGAGTCTCTAATGGCTGCCAAGTGTTTTTCCCTTCAAAATATATGCACGGTGGATTCCATCACAGTACAGAGAAATGAACTGAACTTCAAAAGTCCTCCAAATGCATATCACGCATCATGGACGCATCATGGACATGTTTCAGGGCATAAGAGACACTGAGAAGGAGGGAGAGTTATTACTCGTACGGATGTTTGTTTGTGGATAATGAATGTGAAAGCCACATTTATAGGTCCTAAAACGTATGGAATTTGTGTCGTTTTTATTTCCTTGTTCTCTCTCTCTCTCTCTCCTTCCTGTCAGTGTTGACGACTATGATGTATTTGGTCTGTGGAGACCTCCACCTCCAGTTGGTGAGTTTGTCTTCTGACTGGAGTACAGTGGAACCCTCTCTAGGGACACTCCTGAAATGAGGACACCTCTTTATTAATAGGGACACCTTTTCTTTCACCAAAAACATGCATGTGGTTGACTTTCATTGCCTTTCTACCTCGATATCTCGTTCTTGAAACTTTAACCATAGGACACCACCAATATTGGTATTCACTTCTGTCTCATTGGTGTCTGGAATAGATTGTAGTATAACACTCTACTCCCTCCTTCTCCCTCTCTCTCTCTCTCTCTCTTCTTTCATCAGTTGAGCCGGTGAAGAAGTCACACCAGAAGTCCTCCAGCAAGAAGATCAAGTTAGTTTACTCCACACCACTCCCTCACTCTTCCCCTCCTCACTCACTCACTCACTCACTGCCTCACCCTTTCCGTTCCAGGGAGAATGTGAATGTTCCTCCCTCTCTCTTCTGGCGTCGCATGGCCGCCGACTCTCTCCCCACGAAGCTGCGGAAACTCACCTCCCACCATTCCAAGAAGACCAAGAACAAGGAGTCCTTCACTCCCATTCTGGAGCAGCACCCGGTCAGATTCCCATTCTAGTGTCCAACTCATACCGTCATACCCCCATTCCCCCATTTAGGAAGGCCCTGACTGGATTCCATATGAGGACTGGATACTCCTAAAGGTTAGTTACATCATCTGATAGTAGTTCCACATATTATGTGGCCTATGTTTGGTTGGTGGGATGAAGTAATCTGGGAGTACATGGAAGCAATGTGAGATCAGATTAGCTCTGTACATTCTCAAGACCTTAGGTGCTGCATTGTGATGTATCATCTGTACGTATCATACCTCATTAAAGTATTTGCCACTAGTATTGATGACAGAGAATGCTGGTCCACCCTCTCTCTCCCCTCTTTCTGTTTTCCCCCTCCCCTCCCCCTCCCCCCATCTGTCATCAGTGTATTACGACCGTGCTAGAGTTCCCACTATCGCTGACCATCTCCGTCCCGGCACAAATCCCTAACTGGAGCATCGTCTCAGATCTCACCTCCGCCATATCGAAGGTCAAAAGGTCTCCACTGCAGGTGAGCCAAATGATCACCATATATGGTCATGCTCATACCGCACACAACCTCCTGTGGAGTCGTGTATTTTTCATGTTTTTTTGACGTGTTTCTCTTTCACTTTCAGTGCCGGGAGCATTTAATGAATACCGTCATACCACGCGAAGGACCTGTCGTCAAGGTAATGTAACAAACGATTAACCCTCTGTGCGCACCTGCACGAGCGTACTTTGTCTGTTACTATTAATATAGAGCTCTATATTCATCTCTATATTCAGCTCTATATTCATCTCTATATTCAGCTCTATATTCAACTATATATTCTGTTCAAAGATATGACGTGAAATGCTAATGAATAAGTGGAGGGTTACCGTGTAATGATTATCCTTTAGTGGACATTCTTGTGTGCAGGGGGAAGACTCTGGTGACTTGAAGAGACACAGATCGAAAGACGGATCTCTGAAGAAGGTATGTTGTGTGGGTGGCCGTCATGTGACGATCTAATCCCGACACCAATGGGAAGTGTCCATATATTAGTGAGATCGGAGAATGTCCTCATTTCAGAGGTGTCCTTAGAGAGGGGGTCGGTCCACTGTATTGAACATGTTGCCATGGTTTTTGACAGAGCAAGGGGCGCCGGGAGCAACGGACAAAGGGTCTGGTGATGGCGGACGGCGGGCGAGACCTGACTGACCAGTATTCAACCAGTTTCAACTGGCTCCTCTCAACCGCATCCAAGAGGAACCAGCAGTCGAAATTCGCGTAAGTCTTCCCCACAAGTCCAAGATTTCACATTATTATTCTGCATAATGGTGTGTGTGTGGGTTGCAGGGAATGTAGTACGTATATACACAAGCTGAAGTAGCATGCACATGAATGCACGATCCTGCGTGCTAGCTTTCCCTCATTCTGTGTGCGTGTGAATCTTAGTGAGGCTTGCGTACCTCCTCACAGGTGGGAGTCACTGCAGAAGCACTCCATGCACAGTGAGCTTCTCAAGGAGTAGTAAGTTAGAACTGTCTCTCCCTAACCTCCGCTATTTATCCTCTCTCTCTCCTTTCTCTCTCCTCACAGTGGGATAATGGTAGACGTTGTCCACTCTCCTGCCAGCATAGCTCAGCTGAGGGCAGAGAGAATACAATCCGTGAGTCACCGTTTTCCCTAACACTGCAGGCAAACTGTCACCCTGACTCCTGCCCCCACAACGTCACATCGTCAAACTCTTTGCCTTCTCTTCCCAGGTTGCTGCAGCCCGAGCCTACCAGACAGCTACCTCTGGCTACACCAAAGCCACTACACCTGGTCTTGCCACTCCAACTGATCTCACAAAACTGGGCGGAGCCTTCGGTCTCCCTGGCAACAGAGTTGTGTCTTCAACAGGGGTGCTTCCTCCGAGGGTCCCGCTCCCCCTCCCCACCTCTCTCTCTTCCAGTTCCGCCCTGGCCAACCCTGTCCCCCTCTCCACTGTAAATTAGTCTGCTGCACCATTTCTGAACTTATGTATATACCACTCACTTAACCACACACACACACACTCTCTTTCTTTTTCCTCGCCCTAACAGGTGGTTTCCTCGCTACCCACGACTACCCTCCCCGTCTCAAACCCCTCCCTTCCCTCCTCCACCCACATTACCCACCCCCTCACCAGCTCCTTACCAACCTCTACTATTCAAGCAACTTCTGTGAGTCCACCTCTTTCCACTAATATTCCATTCTCCTCTCATTGTTTGCCCCTCTCCTCCCCCTCCCTCTTTTCCTTTAATCCCTCTCTCTCTCTACTCACTCAAGCCTTATCCAACTGTTTTCTTTCTCCTTCTCATGTCCTGTTTGCCGCTCTCTCGGGAATTCCTACCTCGCTGTTTGCTCACATGTCTATGAGAGAAGGCGGTCAAAGCAGCATATGGCCCTGATTTAGGTACTCTAATCTTGTGTACGGTGTGTGTGTTGGCATGCTCTTCTCCGTGACCGTTATTGTGTGGATGTTGTCAGTGAAACTGGCAAGAATCATAACTTCCTCCTCTCCCCTTCATTTTTCCTCCATTTCTCCCTCTATTGCTCCAGTTGGGAAGATTGTACCACTTCAGCGCCACCTCAGCCAGCAACACGCACAATTTCTTCTTCTAAGACAAAACGCACTCCAACAGCAACAGGTGGGGGGAGGGGCCAACTCGCAGCTAACGACAGCAGGCCTGGGGGGCATTCCTCGTCTACAGACTCCACCCCAGTCGGTCCTGGGGACCCAAAAAGTGGGCCTCCCTGCAGGGATCGAGCAGCTGCGACCGTCCGTCCCCTCTCTTCCTCTTCAGCAGCGATTCACGGCAGCCGTCACGTCTGCAGCCAACGCCATGAGAAACATCACCAGTCGCAGTCTGCAGACGGAAGAAGTCCTGGCCCTGTTGAAACAGCAGTCGTTGCGGATGGCAGCCTGTCAGACGTACCGGGCAGCTCACCCCACCACCCAGCAGCAGAGGGAGAGCGCGGTCTCCGCACAGCTCCAGGCACAGCTGGCAAGACCTGAGCTGGTAAAGTCGGCCATTGTTCTCACGAGCGAGTCAGCCTCCTCTTTCTCCTCGCATGCCGAGCAGGGGAAGGCCGGGAAACTGTTGGCTCAGCCGACAGCGAGGGTCGTTCAGGTTCCGATCACAACTGCCGTTTCTATCCCTGCAACCCCTTCCTCATCTGTACCTACTCCCTCTTCTTCCTCCCAGCAGTCCTCGGTGGCCACACCCACCGCCACGCCCACCTCCAGCACTCCTCAAGCTCCACCCACTAGCACTGCATCCACTAATGCAACAGACACTGGCACTAGCTAAATTTATGCACTATAATACTACTACATTGTTGAAGACTTTCAACGCATGCGCAGTGACAATGAATAATGCATAAAACCATTCAGCGGCCAGTCACGAGCAAGCAGCTAGCTAGCTAGCTATACCTACCTACCGACCGCGTTCGCATGGAACCCGCAAGTAGACATTCTTTGCTCCTTTTCCCCTTCTTCCTGACGCTCTGCTGTGCAGTCAGGACTCTGGAGGCGGCTGGCGGCTGCAGCTGGAAGGTGAAATGGGTCGACTACGGAGGAGGACCGAAAGACATCGCATGCAAAGATTCCCGAAGAACGTGGTGGGCTAGGAACACCGCCGCCCACGGCGAGCTGACAGACTGCGCCACGCTGCAGGCGGACGAGTGGACACTCAGCACCGACGGCTGCACGGAGAGCTGCCCCGTCCACGCAGACCGGGAGACCTCCTCTCTGGAGTACTGCTGCACCAGCGGGCCCGGTGCCAACCCAGCCGACGTCCCCGCCAACCAAAGAGACTGCTACTACATTGCAGGTTGGAGCAGCTCTCAAAACCTCCGCGAAAGAGCGCTGGAGAGGTCAACTGACGCGTGCGTACTACAGTAGTTTCGTAGTAGAGTATATATGTAGTAGAGTAGAGTAGAGTAGAGTATAGTTGAATGTTCTCTCTCTCTGCCTCTCTCCGTTTGCCAGTGTGTCCACTCATCATGTCAGCGACAATTGTCCCCTCCGGCGGCCAGCTACTGGCAGGGCACCGGGCCTCCCTCTATCTCTCCCTCATCTCCCGCCCACTCCCCACCTCCCAGCCTCGCTTCCACAACCAAATCGGCCCGTCTCTCAGCTCCATTCCAGTCCGGAGCGACAATTACACGAATTACTTGAATGCAACGGCCGCCTACACCTTCACAGTGCCAGCTGAGGGCAAAGTCTACATGAACCTGAATGGTATTTCTGCCCCGGATGGTGCTGGATGTGGACCACTGAGAAGTAGTGGTGTCGTGGCAGAGTACTACCTGCCTATTATAGGTGAGAGCTGACATACACACACACATACAATGGAGTGGGGGTGTTTCTTTACTGTTAAGAGAATTTTGTGCATCTTAGCTTGGCGTGCATGGTATGGCAAGCTATGTTACACCCACACTTCTAAAGTATGTATGTTGTGTGTTGTTAGGGCCTTACGTGCGGGAGTCTGTCTAGCTGGAACGAACACAGCACCTTTTAGCGAGCCAACTGTCAGCAGTTTGTCGGTGTGGCAATGTTGCTGCCTTTTAATACGAAAATCACGCAATTGAGTCGACTACAGGACTTATTTTATCGACTAATGTTGGGATGTGTCTGTCTGTCTGTCTCTATCGCTAGGAGATTCAGTCGCTGAGCCCGATCCAAGCCCGCAGTGTGACTGTTCCCCTCCTCTCCCAACACATTCAGGTACAACATACCTACCAACTCACCACTGCAGCATACAACTAGCAACTCGCTACTATGCCACTATATAATTCGAGCAGACCAAACCCCACCTAGTTGTTCCGTCGGTCAAAGCGGCTCAGTGCCGTACGCCGCCCTAATGTGCATGCAGTTTATACATAATACGAAATACCGTGCGGAAATATTTCCCAGACACAAGTTCTTTTCCTTTTGCTTAAAAGTGATTGACCACGGTTTTGCAATGAGCAGCCTCTTATGGGTTGTGGAAGTCTTGCCATAGTTATAGGGGAAATAGGGGGAAGTAAGGAATGTGCCGACTCCACAAAATCAGGGGAATTAGGCCGAGAGAAAACCGTGTGATTGCATGTGCATTTCTGCTGTGTGGGCAGTCCCTGTGCTATAATTAACCACAACCACTCCAATATGAAAATCAGGGAAACGGAAAGAATGTCTGTACGCGAGGTACAACTCTGTATTAGTAAACATTCACTTCCCATTTTTACTAAAGTTTCAGGTCGTGTTACCCCCCTGGGGCATGTAGCAAGGCATCGACTGCACACATTCACTCTCTCTCTGATCTCTCTCTCTCTCTCTCTTCTCTCTCTCTTCTCTCTCTAGCTGAACAAAGTTCTGCAGGACATGTTAGTCTCACTCCATCTCCTTCCTCCTCCCCCTCCTTCTCCTCCTCCCCCTCCCCCTCCCCCTCCATTTCCTCCACCCCTCTGCCCACCACTACAAAGTCCATCTCCGCTCTCTCTGACACAGACTGTGATGGTAGGTATATTATGGTATATACACATAATAACCTTAGGATGAAGTACTAAAGGGAATGTGGCAGTAATAAGGGCTAAATTTAGAAATTTTTACTGAAAACTGAACTCAATTGCATTCTTTCACCGTGCCCCTATTGTTTTGTTCTGTCTTTAGCCCTTATATACATTTCCAAAATTTAACTAAAGAAGTGGTTGGTCTGTATTTGTGAACATTTCATCCAGTCGTTGAAATTGTATGCGGTGTGTGGTTAATTTCCCACTGCCAGGTCACGATTGTGAGTATTGCTGTGTGTGTATGCAATAGCGCTATTGAAAGGTGATGTGTTGAAAACAAAACCTCCGGCTTGTAGCTGATTGCTTTCTATTTGCATTTGTTGTGGTATGGGGGATGTCCTTCTCCATCCATTACATAGTATGTATGTCCATCATGAAATCAGCTTTACCACTTCCTTATTCTCATCTCCTCCTCTCTCTGTCTCTGTTACTGTCTCTACTCGAGTGTTCTCTCTCTCTTCTCTCATCACAGAGAAACGCACAGGAGTTGTGGTTTGGCTGGGGATGGGGCTGGGGATATCGCTCATGTTCCTTGTCGGTGCTGTTGTATTTGCTGCGTGGGCTACGGTCCGGGTGTGTCGGCTCAAGAGAAAGCTACGGCAGTTTGTCGCTCCAGTCAGCAAGGAAGGCGGTCTGAATGGTACGTTTGACAGATCGGCAGACAGACATGCACTCTATTGGTGTGATTTCGTAGTGATTTGCATATGAGACATGCAGCTGTGTGTGACTGAAACGTGGGTAAGACACGATGTAATGAGTAGCATGTGACCATAACTGCACGGCCTGCCAAAATAGTCAGTCTGTGTTCCAGGAAACACGACATGATCTAGACGTGGATGTACTATTGTAGCCATGATGTACTGTATCATGTTAAAGGGACTGTCAAAACATGGGCACTGATGTGGCAGTTTCACCAGTTTTATCAGGTTCCTTCACTTGAGGTTCAGTTTTAGATGTAGGCTCACTCCCTCCCATGGAGGATTCATCTATCCTCTTGTTTTTCCCGCCCTCTCGTCCCCTCTCTCCCCTCTCTCCCCTCTCACTGTAGCTGAAGTAAAGCCTCCTCTACCAATTGGATTCTCATCTCCTCCCCTCACACACACCGCCACTCCCTCCTCCCCTCCTCCCCCTCTCCCCTCGTCCTCCCCACCCCCCTCTCGCTCCTCTTCCTTCCCCCCACCTCCCAACGAGCACACTCATCACAACAGCTCTGAGAGCAGCGTTGATTCCGGAAAAGCTCCTTCCGATACCGAACTGTACTCCATTCCGTTCCAGAACGAGACCAGTCCTCGGTCGACACATTGTACATCTCCAGACACCTCGGCCAAGCGTCAGCTGTCTCTTCACACGCCTGCAGCGGCCGTATCTCCCGGACATGTTGTGAGCACGGCCAGCAGCAGTGTGGTGGACCTGCAGACTGTTGATCACATGACCTCGGTACACTGTGTTTGTTATCAACACGAAGGGACGGAGAAATATGCATTCATTAATGGACAAGTGAGGACACATAAATTATTATATAGTAACTGTGTACAGCCTAGTCACGTAGCAGAGAAAAAGTAGCACGTGACACGTAATTTATGAGGACCCACAATATTTATTTTTAAGTTGCTCAGCCTCAAAAAAATTTGACAAAGTACATAAATTTTAGACTGGCTCATGTCTGGTTCTGCAGATGTACAGGAGGGAGGATGAAGAAGTCAATTTGGACGAATCTCTCAACATTGGCTCCCCGAGAGTTATTTAGGAGGAGAAGACCTCTCTTATAGGGTATATATTTTAGGTACACACACGAAGCCTCTGACTAGGACTTTCCAAATAAGGGACACCTCCAAATAAGGGACACCTCCGTAGAAAAGACACTTGCATTGCAGTCCGAATAAGGGACGCTGACGCCGACGCCGACGCCGTCTGGATAAGAACACTTTCAATGTCCCAGAGGTGTCCCTTGCTCAGAGGTTTCATACCTTCTCCATGTGTCTGTTTTTCACTTCTCTGGACGGATGTAGGATCATTGCTGTTTATGTTTGTGTGCAGGCCAGTTTCAATCTCTGCACACACGCCAACTAAAATGGACAAGTTGAAAGCTACATGACGAGTCCACTAGGTGACAATTGAAAACACCACACGGACGTGCATCGCTTTCAGCATCCTCTGTAGTACACATCACTTCATGAGTATCATTATAACCTCTTTCACTTCTTTATATATTCATTTCGAGCAATGCTTTTTTCCGAGAATAGTTGCGATGTTTGTTGGTGCTGTTGTGTGTGTGCGTGACTTTTCCGCGTGTTTGGAGGGGGTTGTTTTTGAGGGGGGTTTTCAAGATTTGACCATTTCATGAGAACCACAAGCTGTTTTCTTTCAATTTACAGCACATAGTGCTACATAGTTGACACAGAAGGAAGTCATAACTGCCGCCATAGTAACAGTGGGTGTGGTCAACACAATGATTGGACGATACTCTATACACTAGTTCTGCTGTTTTTTCCTGTTTTTCTTTCTCTTGTTCCTCCCTCTGCCCCTCTCCGCACTGGTCTCCGTGGCACCTGGTCCCCGTGGAGTTGTCCTCCCTCCCCTCTTCCCCCTCATCCCCCGCCTCCCACCCTCCCCCTCTCTTGTTGGAGAAGGCTCTGGTTTAGTGAATCCTCCAATGTCTGCCTGGGTCAGAACTACCACCTCCTCTTCACTGGAACTTACCAACACCTCTGTCTTTTCAACCTCTTCGTCGTCAATTATGATTACATCATCTCCTGAGTTTAAAAATAGCACACATGTGCTACAAATAGAACACACTTCTTTTACCGGTGTCTTCTTTATCGTCTCTTCCCTCTTCTGTGTCCAATGTCCACTGACTCCGCCCACCCAGCCCCACCCGGGCGGTCCCCTCTCCCTGTACACACAATCCACACCTGTCATTCCTCACTCCTCACACACACACACCAACTAACCAGATACACAACATCTCCCTCCTCCTCCTCCTCCTCCTCCTGCTCGTCAACCACCTTCACCTGGCCCTCTCCTCCCTCCCCAGTCTCACTCCTCACAACTCTCACCTCCTCCACTCCTCTCCTTGTCTCCAGGATACTAGAGCTACCTACCAATTCTGACCTGCACATACGCACAATACTGTATTGAGTATGTACACAGGGAACCCCTGTAAATTTGTATAATTATTAATGTAACTAAGTATCCATTGGATGGGAGAACTGTTCTTGAGGAAAGAAATGGTGTCTTCATTAGAGAGGTGTCCTCATTTATAGGGTGGCCCCAAACAGCAGTTTTTTCACTACAGTTCTAGGTGTAATTATATATAATAATTATATATATATAATAGAGAGAGAGAGATATTTGGGTAAGTGGAAAGGTTTACTTGGCTGCTGTGGTGGAAGTTGTGGTCAGAGCATTTTGTACTTCCTCCGTAAACTCCTGACACTTTACTGTTGCAATCTTCACGCACCTCAACAGCTGTATAGGATTATTATAGAGTTCTCCCCTCACTCACACACACACACGCTCTCAACCTGGTCAGGAAGAAGAGCGAATCCCCCTGCCATCCCCAGCACGCATATCTCTCTGTGGACGTTCATCCCGATGACCAGTCTCCCCTCCATCACCGTCTCCTCTGTAAGACTAGGGTCCACCAGTAGATAGCCTCTGTATATAGCAACAAACAACAGTGTCCATATTATAACACTGCATGTGAAAACTACGAGGTATATAGAAAGGCAAAGGCACAACAAACAAATCAACTACACCCAGGACAGCTTTTTTTTCAAGGAAGGGAGGGAGATAATTACCCATCAGAGAAGAAGGCGAATGAAACAGAGAATGGCATGTGGTGGACACTCAGTGGGACAGGATCTCTCTCAGTCACTGGATGCTAACGAATAGGAGTAGGGGAGAGAAGAGAAGAAGAAAGAGAGAGGGTAAGTAACAGAGAGCTCGAAATGTGACCTACAATTGTTGCTTCTTCGCCGATCACCGTCACGTCCGGCCGTCTGTGGGTGTATGAAACAATTACATCATCACGACATCATTCTCGCTAACCTGAAGTGTTTGAGAGCAGCTATGGCAGCGACGGTGGCACAATCGGTGATGTTACCACACTGATCCAGAACGTGTATGTCCACACGCAGCGACCACACCTACACAAACAGACCTTTTTTACACAGCAACCAATTATGTTAGTTTAGTGGCAAGAAATGGTTAACCCTAAACACTTTCTAGTACTCAAATCCTCTTTATTCTACAATGGGACGCTTAACGTCGTGCAGAGTCTAAGAGTAGAAACATTTTAAAAATCTCAAACCATCACCTTCTCGCCAGCAATGATACAGAGTGATTCAGTATCAACTGCTCTCGAGTCCTTTAAACAGCGCTCCAGCATCCGAGCCACCTCTATTGCCAGGGGCGACGACCTCCCGACCTCGAACGCCGGTGAAGCCATGGGAGAGAGTTCGACGTTGAAAAACAGGTCTCCCTCGGTGGGCCGCTGGGGGCGTGGCTTGACAACCTCGCAGGACACGTTGGCTAACACCCTAATAATGTCCAACATTTTTTCCGGACAGCCTCAAAATTTGTAATGCACACTCACTCGGTTTCCAGCGGTCACCTCCACGAGTGACTGGCAATGGATGAGGCCGCTGAGCGCGAGAGTTCGGTAGTCATAGGGCCCCCGCCCGTCCAGTCTCTGCGGAGAGCCGTGTGAGAGGATGGCACAACTGTGGGGACTTACTTTGCTGTCTTTGATGGCCTGCAGTACGAACTCTCGCTCACAAAGGCTCACCAACGGCTCTTTCCCTCGATTCATGGTGGCTTTTGGGACTTCAGAGCAAGAAGAGGGTTTCTAATTAGTGCGCATCTTCAGCCACGAGGTTTCCGGATACCTTCACGTATTATCTGTAAACGGTTAGCACTCGTGGGTAAAAAAACACAACCCTCCCTTTCTTTGAACCACCCCCCATAACACATACTAACACCACAAATTCACAAATCCCCCTAAACAAACAAAAAACAAACCCCCAAAAAAAATCCCCAATAACTCCCTCACCCCACCACTAAATAAAAAAATACCACTTTTAAACAAAAACAACATAAGTCCCTCCCCCAAGCCCCCTCTACATATTACAAAACACAATATAAAAAAACAAACAACATAAAAAAAAAAGCGGGCGGGGGGGGGGGGGGGGGGGACAACACAACCAATCACAAACCACCAAAACTTCTCCGAACCACAAAACACTTGCTCTCCCTTGTGCAATACCCCAAAAAAATACTGCACTCCCCAACACACAACAACCTCAATCAAACATTTAACAATGCCCAAAAAAACACCACCCCGACAACACCCAAACAAAAAAAAAATATCAAAAAAAAAAGAGGAGGGGGGGGGGGGGGGGGGGGGGGTGGGGTGGGGGGGTGGGGGGGGGGGGGGGGGGGGGGGGGGGGGGGGGGGGGAGGGGGGGGGGGGGGGGGGGGGGGGGGGGGGGGGGGGGGGGGGGGGGGGGGGGGGCGGGGGGGGGGGGGGGGGGGGGGGGGGAGTGGGGGGGTGGGGGGCGGGGGGGGGGGGGGCGGGGGGGGCGGGGGGGGGGTGGTGGCACCACCCCCCAACAACCAAACCCCCCCCCACACCACAACCCACCCCACCTCGGCGTTATTCAAGTCGAGGTATGCCCGTCGTCCTTCCGGAAAAAACATGTTCTGGTCCCTCCGTCTCAGGCCACGCTTGCAGCAGAGATACAGCGCGCTCAGCGCGTTCTTCTCTGAAAGACAAGACCCCTCGCGCGGTGTGTCGCCC